GATAGCCAGAACCTGGAAGCAACCTAGATGCCCTTCAACTGAAGAATGGATAGAGAAAATGTGGTACATTTACACAATGGAGTACTATTCAGCGGAAAAAACAGCGGGATCTTGAAATTTTCAGGCAAATGGATGGCACTAGAAGAAACCATCCTGAGTGAGGTAACCCAGTCACAAAAAGACAGACATGGTATGTACTTACTCATACATGGATTTTAGGCATAAAATGGGATTGGCAGCCTACAATGCCACCTTCAGAGAGCCTAGGAAATAGGGAGGATTCTGAGAGATATGCTTGGTACCCCAGAGAAGGGGAATGGGACAGGATCTCCTGAGGGGATTGGGAGATGGGGGAGAGGGGAGAGGGAGCTGGGAGAAAGAGAGGGGGTGAAGAGGAGGGGAGAGGATGACATGGGAGAGCTTGAAGTATGAGTCACAGGGAATTGGAAGAATAGAGGAGAGCAGGATGAGAGATGCCATAATAGAGGGAGCCATTATAGATTTGAGGAAAGATCTGGCACTAGTGAGATTTCCAGAGATCTACTAGGATGACACCAACTGGCAATCTAACCAATAGAGGAGAGGCTACCTTAAATTCCCTTCCCCAACAATGTGATTGATAACTTCCTTGTATGGCATCCTAGAGCCTTCATCCAGTGTCTGATGGAAGCAGAGGCAGATACAGCGAAACACTGAACTGAACTCCTGGATCCAGATGCAGAGACAGAGGAATGATGAGCAAAGGGGTCAAGACCAGGCAGGTGAAACCCACAGAAACAGCTGCCCTGAGCAAGGAGGAGCACATGGACCCCAGAGTGATGGCTCAGAGGCCTGCATAGGACTGATCGAGACCCCCTGAACGTGGCTGTCAGTGAGAAGGCCTTGGCAATCTTTGCGCCCTCAGGTACTAGATCAGTATTTATCCCTGACATCTGAATGGACATGGGGGGCCCATCCTACACTGAGGGATGCTGTCTCAGTCTGGACACATGGGGGAGGGCCTAGGCCCTGCTCAGCATGATATGATAGACTTTGGAGATCCCCCATGGAGGGCCTCACTCTCCCTGGAGAGTGGAGTGGAGATTGTGTGGGGGTTGGGGGAGTTGACAGGGCTTGGGGGAGGAGGAGAGAGAGAAAGGGAGCTGGGATTGACATGTGAAACAAACTTGTTTCTAATTTAAATTAAAAAACAATTCTGCCTGAGGCTAAAGTGAAGAGCTTTTGCTTTAAGAGCCTTTGCAGAGGAGATTTCAAAATAACTTAGTATTGTGTGGTTATTTAGTGACCAGCTTTATGCAGATATATAATGAAAAGAAGCAAGCTGAGCAAGGCAAAACACAAAATGTATAGCTTGAGGAGAAAGGGGAACCAGGAAGTGGAATGGGGCTACAGCCTGTATTCAAGAAGTTAAAACAGATTAAAGAAAACTCTGGTGCTAAATGGAATAAATGGAGTGGTATTAATGATAGTCAATGCTATAGGAAAACAATATATTTATTTACCAGAGAGAGAGAGAGAGTCGCACAAACCAGGAGTTAGAAGCGTGGCTGGCTTCCAGGAGAAAAAGGGAGGTTCCTTTTTCTTTCACTTCCTTTTATATCTACCTGTGTCAGTTTACATGTCCCCGCCCTCATGGGCAGATAGCTTTGTGGGGTTCACTCCAACAGAGTGGTTTAAGTTTTCAATTTGTGAAAAGGAATTAAAGAAAAGTTTAGAGCCCAGTGTGGTATTGTACACATTGAATCCCAGGACTCAGGAGGTAGAGGCAGGTGGATCTCTAAGTTTGAAGCTAGTCTGGTCTACAGAGTGAGTTCCAGGGCAGCCAAGCTTAGGCAGTGAAGGCAACCATCTATAGAGAGTTGGTGCAAATATATTTGAACAAGAAGACCATGATCCAGCCCAGAACACAGCAAAACTTGGACACTTTGGCTACATGGTTCTGGCTTTAGAGTCAAAGATAAAGGAAAAGGGTGGTAGAATCTTGCTCCATAGCTAGGGAAAGCTGCTGAGGCCAGGTGTGCATCAGGGGTGTCACCTCATGGAGGCCCAGAGAAGTCATTTTATGAAGCTGTGAAAGTTAACCCTGGATCGTGTTGGAGATCCTGAAATGTTGGAGATGCTGAGTTATGGAATACCTGCTAAGGAAAGTTGCTAACAGGGAGTGGAACTAGCCCACGAGAGAAAGGTGTACTGTAGTCAACAAAGCTGAAAGGAGTTGAAGAACACATTGACATCAGACATGGAGATGCAGAGTTTGGAGTTGGCCAGATGGTTTTCAGTCTTGGTTGGTCTAGTATTTCCTCATTGCTCTCCCTTTCCATCTTTTTGGAATGGTAATGTATATATACTGTGTCATTGTATGTTGGATGTATGTTACCTGCTTTTTGGTTTTGATTTTACAAGGGTATACAGTTAAGAAATTGCATGAGTCTCAGAAGAGACTTTGAAGACTGAACTTTTCAACATCATTGAGACTCTTATAGACTATGGGGACTTTTGAAGTTGGACTGAATGCATTTTTGCAGTACGATACAGCCACAAACCTATGGGGCCCAGCATGTTGAATGTGGTGGTTTGAATGAAAATGCCTGCCCCCCCCCAGGCTCATAGGGAGTGGCACTATTAGGAGATTCGGCCTTGTTGGAGGAAGTGTGCCAATGAGGGTGGGCTTTCTTTCTGCTGTCAGCCAATCCAGATGTAGAACTCTCGGTTACCTTTCCAGCACATTGTCTGCCTGCATGCCGCCATACTTCCTGCCATGACTAAATCTCTGTACTTGTAAGCCAGCCCCAACTAAATGCTTTCATTTATAAGAATTTCTGTGGTCATGGTGTCTCTTCACAGCAATAGAATATACTAAGACAGTTAGCATCCATGATGTGGGAAAGGCATAGCATCAGGAGGGTGAAGTGTCTAGTCCCTTTGTGTCTGTATTCAGGAAGTAGAGAGACAAATGCTCAGCTTGCTTCCTCCTTTTTATTCAGTCAGGTCTCAGGCAGCGTGTTGCCCACATTCAGGGTGTGTTTTTCCTCCGCGATTAAGCTTTTCTGAAAACTCCCTTACAGAAATACCCAAAGGTGTGTCTCCTATCCCAGGTGGTTCTAAACCCTGTCAAATGAAGATTGGCTACTGTATGGCTCTTTGGGGACATCACATGGAAACAGCTTTAAAGAGAGGGTAGCAGAAGTCAGGTTGGAGCCATCTGGAGACTGAAAGGATCTTGAGAACAGGAGAAAGGATGAGCAGGGTGAGGAATGCTCAAATATAGCCTCAAACTGATATTCAGTATTACTTAAAGATGCTTTCCAAAATTACTCTCCCAAATTCTGATTCAGTTTATCCCAGGGTTCAAATACAGATTTTGTTGTTGTTTTTTGCTTTGTTTGTTTGGCTTAGTTTTTTCAAGGCAGGGTTTCTCTGTGTAACCCTGGCTGCCCTGGAATTTACTCTATAGATCAGGCTGGCCTTGAACTCACAGAGATCCACCTTTGTCTGACTCCTAAGTACTGAGATTAAAGGTGTGCGCCCCCACTGCCCAGACAGATACAGGTTTTAATAATCTTTCAAGATGTACTGTGCTTAGTCTGGCTTCCTTGGAAAGCCGACACCAAGGTGGGATGAAATGACGGAGTTTTCTTTTGGTGGACAGGAAGGAACAGGTGTGTGCAAGAGAGCAATCCAGGCGGTGTGGAGGAGCCTGGTGACAGCAGTGCATACCTGCCCCGTGAAGGTAGGAGGTAGGATGGTTGGAACTCTGAGCAGGGGTTAGCAGGGCCGCTATGGATGCCTTTAACTGGGTTTGCTCTGTAAAGAGTCTGTATGCTGCCTTCTGACCCTGTTATCCTCAATCGCTGGTTAGGACACACTGTAGGAATCCTGGTCTCCACACAGACCTGGTGATGCTCTCAGGAGTACAGTAGTGGGAGCCTTCGGGTCATCAAATTCCAAACAACTGGAAGAATTTGAGGCATGTTGTAATGGCTGGTGCACACACTCGAGCATTTTAAGATAATGGAATGAGAAAGGGATTGTTGAAATGGGTTGTAGGTGAAGTATTTGGGTTCAAGTTAAAATTTCAGGTTTTCTTACTGCTAAGAAATATTTTAGTATATTTTAAATATACAGAGAAAGCTACTCACAGCAGAAGTTAAAGATAGGAAAGAATGGGGAAAGAAGGGAGGGAGAGAAGACAGATGTGGCAGAGAAAGAGGGAATGAGAAAGAAGGGGGAGGAGATAAGAAAGAGAGGAGGTTGCAGACCGACAGCTGGGAGGCCAGCATGGGACCGATCCAGACCCCCTGAATGTGAGAGTCAATGAGGAGGCCTGGGCTACCTATGGGGTCCTGAGCAGTGGATCAGCGTTTATCCCTCGAATAGTAACAGACATCGTGTGTCCATAACACAAAGAGGGTTGCTCTGTCTGCCTGGACTCTTAGGGAAGTGCCTGGACCCTACCCTGAATGAAATGATAGACTCTAGATATCCCCTATGCAGAAGGAATTGGCAATAGGGTGGGAGGATGGGGGGGGGATGGTGGGGGGGTGCGGGAGGAGGGGAGGGAGAGGGAACTGGGATTGACATGTAAAACAAGCTAATTAAAATAAAAAAATGTTAAAAAATAATTTGGATAGCTAAAATAAATAAGCCATTGTTGGCATGGAAAATAAAAAAAAGAAAGAGAGGAGGTAGAATGGGAATAAAAAGCATGAACGGATTATGGAGAAAGAAACTCAGAAGTTAGAAGGAAATGGGATCCTTGGTATGGATTTGAATTTAGGTTGTAATGTCTTACCCTCTGAGTATTTTGAACATGGTTAAATTTAGGTTGCAGGTAGCTGGAGAGAATTGTGCTTTGTTATCTATTTCTAAGACAAACCCGGGAGCAATGTATCTAGAGGCAGTGGGGAGGATGGTACAGACAGGTCTCTTCTGTAGACAGAATCACATTAAGGGAGAGGAAAGCCGGTGGCCTTGATGTGCGTATGAAGCAGAGGGCAGGGTCACTTGCTGAAAAGATATTTTATTGGCAGTTCTTTCCACATGACAAAATTCCACATACAATCTGCAACAAAATCACATTTAGTATATTAAAGTTAACACTTCAAATATATATTAAATAATTATTGCAAAAATCCCTCTCATAGGTATCTTTCCATTTCTTTGAATATAAATCAAAGCTGACATAGTCTCTAGATCTAATTTGGGATTTTTTTAAAGCCTAACATTTGCATTGAATTTGTGTTATTCTTAATCATGGAAAATTACTGGAAATATAGTCAGCATATAACATATATGTGATTCCAAAGTTAACATACAACCACTTTTGAGCCATGTAATTTGTATCTATTGACAAAAAGTTTATCACAAGGATATTAATGCCACCAAAGTACTTTTAATCAAAGGCTATGATTTTCAAACCAGAAGACTCAGAGCCCTGTATCCTCTAAACTGAGCTGTAGACACCACTGACATTTTTAAAATTTCAAAACACTTAACAGAATCCCCAATTCTAACCTTTTGAAGGCTTTGAGGTACTTTATAGGTTTCTCAATCTGTGTGTACATGTTTCTATGTGCATGAGGGAATATACACATGGACAACCTTTAGTATTGTTCCTCAGTTGCTGTCCATGTCCTTGGAAAAGACTCTCTCTTTGGTGTAGAACTACCAATCAGGACAGCCAGGCTTACCCCAAGTCCCAGGGATCCTCCTATCTCTGCCACCCTGGCACTGGGATTGCAAGTACTGGTCACTACACATGGTTGTCATCTGGGGTTTGTTAACTGAATTCAGTCTTTATGCTTGCCATCGAGCATCTGGCCAACTGAGTTATCTCTCTATCTCATACAATTTAAAAACAAATTCAATGGGGGTCACTCTTCAGAAAATCCAATGGATCTTTGCAATTTGTGTATATAATGAATTAATAATTTGATCAATGATTTAAAATAGAAAAGAAAAAAATCTTCTGAAGTTAGCATCTGAGATGGGGAAACCATAAAAGCTTTAAATAATGAGTAGTGAAAATTTTTGGGCTAAACTTAATTGAATCCTATCCTCTAAGGACACTGGGAGGGTAATGAATATTGCCAAGGTTGCATCACAGTCAATAACAGAACCAGCAGTAGGATTTACTAATTTCAAAAAGCATCCTCCAATCTGTTATATTTAGATGTTGAGACACTGTGTTTTGGTTCATAGTGCTTAGTGTTCTTAGCATTCAAAAGCCAGTGCTTTACATTCTGGAGGAGGAGGTAAGGAGTATGCCTCAATGGGGAACACCCCAGGCCAACCACTGGGGCTTATTGCCTTGTGTTCCTTCCACTGAATGACTTTCTAGTAAAGTGGTTGTAAATATCACTGGGCTCTGCAGAAGCAATTGACAGCAAAACACAAAAACCTTTCATAAAGACTTCACAGTAAGGAGTTACTGTAAACAGAGGGTGACTTTCAAGGTTCTTTCTTCCAGCATTCACAATTGTCATGCAGTCCCCTTCCATTTCTCTGGTTAACAATGGCATCTAAACAGAGTACAGAATTCAACCATGTGTGTATAGATCCATAATATAGGACTTGCTTTAGACTCTTGTACAGGTTAATCTTATATGTGCATACAGAAGATACAGCATGCTTACTGAATAATTAACATATGATTTCACAATGAACAGAGAGGGAAAAATTCAATACAAATGTCCTGCTGCTATGTTGTCTTTCAGAAACTAGAGGAGCTAGCTATGCCTTTTCCGGGTAGGTAAATTGAACAGGCAATGTAAGGCCCAGCACAAGCAATAGGTTGTCTTCTTGTGGAATTAAAATTAAAAATTCCTTCTTTATATTCTTTCTTCTTCCTCTAGGATGTCTTTATTTTTCTTCATTTCTTTAAAAAGGGGCATGGTAGGGTAGATTCCCTAATGGTGGTCTGAATACAAAGTAACTTCATAAGCATAACTGAAGTAAAATGGAATCTGTAAGCCAGATGTGGTGGCTCATGTCTGTTTTCACAGCACTTGGGAAGCTGAGGCAGGAAAATGGCCAAACTACAAAGTAAGAACCCCATGCTCAAAAGAAAAGAAAAGAAAGAAAGGAGATAAAGTATTATATCTTACTGTCAATCTTTTAAACAGAGTTCATTTTCCAAATTTAAAATTTAAAAATTTTATAAAAAGATTGAAATTTCATTTTGTACATCCATTTATTTCTATGACACCCAAGATCATTTCAATTAAAATTCATGTTGTCCACTACCAGACACAGCAGAATGGACAGCCTGAGTGCTAGTCATTAGCTTGAGTGCTAGTCATTGTCGTAGACACAACCTGAAAGAAAAGAAAATACAACTTTAATTCATCCATTATTTTTTATATGTTCACATGTATGCAGGTACATATACACATGTGTGTGAAGGCTGAAGGATAACCTCTAGTAACATCCTCAGGAACCACATAGTTTCTCTGAGATGGAGTCTCTCATTGGTTCCAATCCTACCAAGGAAGCCCCAAGGGTCTTCTTGTCTCTATTTCCCCAGGACTGGAATTACAAGCACTTGCAACTCTTCCTTTTCAAGTATGTTCTACCCAGAAGACTCAGGTTCTCATGATTGCAATAGAAGCTTCACAAACTAAACCATTCTCCTAACTCCCTATTAAGGTTTTGGAAACAAGTCTTCATGAATCCCAGGGTGCTCTTGAACTCCATAGACAACTGAACAGGATTTTCAACTCCCCAGCCTCCTGCTTCCTTATTCCAAGTGCTGACTCTGTACCACCACACCCGCCTTAAAATTTTAGATACATATTATATACAATACATCCTAAGTGTTTCAAGTTAGATATCTGGGTAATTCAATATCTCCAGAATAAAGATTTTAAAAAGTAAAACTTACTTATTTCATATTAAGATGACAAAAGTAGTTAAGTGAAATTTGGTACATTTAACCTTCCATACTGGCTGGTTTTATCTCAACTTGACATAAGATAGAGTCATCAAAGAGGAGGGAGCTTCCACTGATAAATCTCCCTCATACATTTGTAGACAAGCTTGTAGAACGTTTTCTTAATTACTGGTTGATGGGGTGAGGCCCAGCCCATTATGGGTGGTGTCATCCCTGGGCTGGTGGTCCTAGGTTCTGTAAGAAAGCAGGCTGAGCAAGTCATTGGGAGCAAGCTAGTAAGCAGCACTCATCCATGGCCTGTGCATCAGCTCCCGCCTCCGTGTTCCTGTCCTGCTTGAGTTCATGTCCTGACTTCTTTTAATCATGGACTATGATGTGGAAATGTAAGGCTAATAAGCCCTCTCCTCCCCAACTTGCTTTTGGTCATGGTGTTTCATCACAGCACTAGAAAACCTAAGACATCTTCATGATAGCCCAATTTCAACAACATTCAATCAAATGAGACTAAAGATTAGTTATTCTGACATCACATCTGTTGTAATTTTAAAAAGTGTGCACGAGAGAAAGATGCCATGTGACAGAGCTTGGGTGGAAGGGTTTTTTATTGGGGGAAAGTGAATGGAAAAAAGGGGATGGGAGAGGGGAGAGGGCAGACTGGCCTCTGGGGACAGGAACAGCAGAGGAGAGAGAGAGAGAGAGAGAGAGAGAGAGAGAGAGGAGAGAGGAGAGGAGAGAGGGAGAGGAGAGAGGAGAGAGGGAGAGGAGAGAGGAGAGAGGGAGAGGAGGTGGGCAGGACCCTTTTCAAAGGGAACATAGGAATATGAATACAGGTGGTGCTCTTAGTGACTGTAGCTGAGAGCACATCCTGTCTGAACCCCAAGAACAGGCCAGTACAGACGCCTGAAAATACTAACAACATCACTTTTTGGAAATGAGATTAGTTAAGCATCAACAAGTATCTTAAGCTAAAGAGTAAAGGGTCAGGACTCAGAGATGACTCTATCGGCAAAGTGTTTGTTGCAAGCTAGGGAAATAGATTTGATGCCAGTACTGATGTGAAAAAACAAAACAAAACAACAAAACTGGATGGTGTCAGATGTTATGACAGACATCTTTATCCCAGCAGTCAAGAAGCAGAGGTAGGTGGATCTCTGTGAGTTCGAGGCCGGGCTGGACCGATAGCCTCCAAAACAATACAGAGAAACCCTGTCTCGTAAAAACCAAAAAAAAAAAAAAAACTTGGTGATTTTACTAGTGTTATTAGTTATGAAATATGCACCCTTTATTTATCAAAGACTTGTTAGTCTCACATTTTAGCATTTGCCAGCTTTACAATTGTTCATTTAGGATTATTAGTTTCATATTTTATAGGATGCAAAAATAATCTATTGTTAACTTCTTGGGCAGTATGGTTGCTGTGGTATGCATACTGTTAGTTTTAAAACAAATTACTATTTATTAACTAAGAATGCATTTCTCTGATTAAAAAACCCAACGACCCTTAACTCATGTTACAATACAACATTTACCAAATAGTTCTCCTTTCCCTTCATTCCTTCCTACATCTTCCATCTCTTCCCTGTTCTGTTTTTTTTTTTGTTTGTTTGTTTGTTTTTTTTTTTTTTTTGGTTTTATGAGACAGGGTTTCTCTGTTTTTGGAGGCTATCGGTCCAGCCTGGCCTCGAACTCACAGAGATCTGCCTGCTTCTGCCCCCCCGAGTGCTGGGATTAAAGGCGTGTGCCACCAACGCCCTGCTGTTCTGTTGTTTTTGACATGGGGTTTCATGTAGCCTAGGCTTGCCCCTAACTTGCATAGTGTAGTTAAAGCCGGCCTTTAACTTCTGATCTTCCTGCTTCTACCACCCAAGTGATGGAATTACAGGCCTGAATCACCCTGGATATCTTATGTTTCTCATTCTGGAGAATAAATACACTTTTCTTGTCACATGACTCCTTCCCTCTCCCTATGACACCAGATCATTACTTTTCCTCACATTTTTAAGAAACTCAAATTCTGATTGTATCTGATGACTTTAATAAAGCCAGCAAGCTGTGGTGGGAGCTGCATGAGACTTACCATCAGCAATGTCATCATAGATTTCTCCATCACTGGAAACACAAAAAATATTAATATAATATTAATATACAGAAGCTATCAACAATATGATTGCCACATAACAGAAACATTTAGAGGTAAAAAAATGAAGCTATGCATGTGTATGTGTAAGTGGACATAGATTTTATATTCATCTCTACATCTTCTTTCCCTGGCTTTATCGACTCCCAGTTCATTCTACAAACAGAATAATAGAACATGCCTTGAGAGCACAGATCATGCTCTACTTCGAGCATTGCCACGGACAGATGCCAACTGAACTCCCTAAGAACTAGGTACAGGGCTAAACAAGCTAAATTTCCAAGGCAAAACCCTCCTCCAGGTGCCTCAATCCAAAAGTGCATTGAATTTTAAGAGTTATTAGTACTAGACTCATACCTTTAGTTGCTTCAAATGTTAAATGAATGAAATATATTTGGCATGGGAAATGGCTATGCTGTTTTCATGTGTTTCTAGTTGCAAGTATTTAAATGCTAATTATGGGATATACAATCATAGAACTTTTATATTACACATCCACTGCAGTAATTTTGGGTGCCTTTGTGTATTTTCAGGTTTTGCGGAGCCCTGAAGCTTTATGGAGTATTCTGTTAACAAACACTGAGTCGCTCTGATGTGCTGGGAGACACAACTATGAGTCGGAGGTAAACTTTGATAGTGAAAGTGCATAGTCTAATGAGTGATTTATAAATGATATAATAATATAAGTATAAATATGATCTTGAGATGTAGGAAACAGTTCTGAGCTTCAGAGCTGTGAGGTAGCTGTGTCACTTAGGGTAGACATGCTCTTAGTTCCTGCCCTATCTCTGGGCTTTGTCACAGCAGCATCTCCCTTGTTCCTGCCAACTGTGGCAGATGCTGCCTATACCTTCTGTTTGGATCCTTTCTCCGAGGTAGAGCGAATATTTGGCTAATGGAAATCTGAGAGGACAGGTTTTCCTGCTGTTTATCCCATAAATGTTTATTGATGTGTGCATTTTAATAGATAGTGAGCCAGTAGTCACTTAGGGTCCTGTCTCCATTTTCTTTTAACCATCTTACAGTCATCTGAAATACATTCTTTCCATAAAATCACATCTTTTTTAGAACAAAGCCTATCAGAAGTCCCGTGCCCACCACTGTAATACTTAACGCTGAAGAAAACAAATATGTTAGGGTCAGTTTCTTGTCTGCCCTCCACTGGGGTGCTTCCAGAATTCTTAGCATGCATTGCCTGTTCACACATGTGCCTTTGCTTATGGTAAATGGTTTGTGAATCCTACATTCTTTCATTGTATCAGTTTTACAAATATTTCTATTGCTCAACTTGATAATAGTGGGATTAATTTTCTGCTCTGGATTTCTTGGTGCAGAAGAGTCCAAGGGCTTAAAAGTACCAGGCTGTGATGGGCTGTGAAAAGGTCTTATTCATAAGAATACAAGAGTCATTGATTACTATCTTTTGAGGGGCATACTTTCAACAAGGCAACATAATAGAGCACTATGCTTGGTATGAGTATAGCACACTCTTCAGTTAGGGGCTAAACTGTGAGCAATTATTAGCTGGTGACATTAGTGCCTACAACACACACCATTTGGCTCTAATTAGTCCAGTTCTAATACTGTAATAATTAATAAGCAAAAAGACAAACAATTAATGAAAAGGGTAGTGGCTTTGCCCTGTGTGTCTTCAGTGTTTGCTAAACAGACAGCTCAATGAGTACTTATGGCTATTCACCATGAGTAAGCCAGGCTGCCTTGCTAATTCAGACTAGCATATTCAGCTTTGTTATTGACACACATGTAGTACATTGCTTTCAATTTATTATCATAGTCCAATCCATTGCTTTCTGGAAATGATATTTCATAAAATTCTTTTAACAAATATAGCACTAGAAGAAAATGGCCTTACTTGTCCACCAGGTAACTCCGAAGGACATAACCATCTATAAAGGAAAAAATGAAATGCATTTTAATTACAGATACAGCTTTGAAAATATTTAATGTTTACTTTCACAGGTTGACATATAAGTGAATAATTATTATAGGATAATATACGGAGGGACTGACTGGAGAGATTACTTAAGAGCCCCTTCTTACAGCAGCTAGTTTGATCCCAAGAATCACATCAAACAGCTCATAACTGTCTGTAATTCCAGGTCTAGGGACTCTTAGGCCCTATTCTGACTTCTGCAGGCACCCAGTCATGACATACCCTACAAAGACACAGCAATAAAATTTTTAAAAATCTTTAAAAGGATATTATATTGAATAATTTCATCTATGTAGAACATGCTTATGGAGTAATTTGCTCATGTTTATACCCCATTACCCATACTTCTCTCCCCTACCTCTTAGCATCTCTCACCAATCTCTTTCCTATCCTATTTTTTCTTTTTATTAATTTATTTAAGGGCAGCATAAAAAATGACTTCACTCTGGTATTTTCATACATAAATCCTGACACTTTTGTGTAATTTATCCCCTTCTCTGGCTGCCTTCCCTGTGCCTCCTACCCTTCTCTTAGTGGCTTCTTTCCTCCTTCCAAATGCTTCCCTTGTGTTTTCATGTGGCACGAATTCCACTACCCCTCCCCTTCCTCTAAGGTCCCCTCTCTGCTCCCATGCTCTTCTTCCGAGGACCCCTCCCCCCACATTTACATATAGGTTCCATATGTGAGGGAAACATGTGGCATTTGTCTTTCTGAATTGGGTTTATTTGGTTTAATGTAGTCATTTTGAGTTGAGTCAGAACGCAACTGGCAGAAATCTGTTCTCTTCTTCCACTATGTGAGTTGAAGGAATTGAACTCAGTTTGCCTTAGCAGTATACATGCAACATTATAAATTGTTGATAAAGACTATTAAATGTTGATATTTAATAACATTAAATGTTTCCATTAAAATCCCCTGGAATATTATGAGAAATAATGTTTGTCAAAGGAAAAACCAAAGATCATTTAAGCACCTTTTTGAAAATTAAGATTATTATTTACTCATGCTTTTTAATTAAATTACTTTTAATTTAAAACTCAATTTTGATAAAAATTCTCAGATCTGGTTAAAGCACTACTAACAGTCCTTTACATTGCTAAAGTTAATAATTCATAATAAATAGCTCAATTATCTCAACATTATGAGATAATTATAAAAGCTTACACTCTCACACTCTTAATAGTATATTCCCTCCTATATCTGCCTTGCTCATGAGTGCTGAATAATGTCTTTCTCTTCTGTGGTTGATTCCTTCACAGATATTATTGTTCAGCTCTGTTCTTTTCTCTCCCCCTCTCTTCTTCTCTTTCTCTCTGCATATGTAAAGGAAGGGAGGGAGATGTCAATTACTGAATCTTTAAGATGTAAGTGGTCACATGTGAAATGAGGCTGTCCCACTCTATTTTAGTTCCATGATAATGTGATTATATAGAATTCACTAACTGACTATAAAATCACTTATATAATGTTTTTACAGGATTGCTCACTTTTAATATAGCATCTGCTTTGATGTCTACTGCTTTTCAGTGTTAAAAGTTTATTCTATTCAAGGACGGTTTGTGATAGTGTCAAGACAAGTGATTTACCATGGATTGTTATGTAATCTTGACAGTATAATTCCTAGAAATTCTTTTTTATTCAGGAAGAAAATGTTCTAGTTGTTCACATGGCTCATATTCACTTACCAATATGGGATATTAATAGAAATATGAAAAAAAACACAAAACGAAACAAAATCATGGTTATGGTGTGGAACGGCTGCTATGTTTAGCCTTACAAAATTATGAGAGCTGATTCTCCCAGGGCTCTCATATGTCACGCAAAGTTGTTATTTGGAAGCCTCCTGCTCACAGAGCAGAACACAGTGGTTGGAACAAATGTCTTGAAATATGTCGTGGGTTAGAATAGTTAGGAACGTAACACCCATCCCCCGTATGTGCCAGTCAGTTTCCTCCTAAAATGTTTTCTTACTATGGTGTAGATGCGTCTCAGGAGTAACAGCTCACCTGTGAGACGACATTAGAAACATGGCATTTCCAAGGAAATATACAATAGCCTCGGAAAAATAGAAATTAACTTGATTTTGTAGTTTCAATTTTTCTGTAATTGAAATGACTATTATTTATTACTTCATTTGTTGTATTTGCAGAAAGTTAAGTTACTGAACTTGGCCCGCTGCAGTGAAAAACATATAACTGTATTGCGTGGACTTGCTTGGGCAAGTGAACCAATGGTAAACTTGAAGGGAAATGAACCACAGTGAATGGTGTATAATACTGAATGTGATTTATTATTTTGGTTTTCCCAAGAATTCATCTATTTCTTTTTCTTCTCTGTCTCTTTGTATTGTTTCTGAGACTTTCTACTAGGACTACTTTAAACATTTTATTTATTCATTCATTCATCACTCACTTATTGTTTACTATTTTTGAGGTGAATTTTCACTACATCATCCAGGCAGTCCTTGAACCCCTGGTTTCACCTGCTGTTCCTCATTCAGCCTCCCAAGTACTGGGATTTTAGGTGTTTGCTAATACAACTGGTACATATTGACTTTCTAAGTTGCTGAATAATTTTTTTTCAGTGAGCACATACTGTTAAAAAAAAAAGAAATGATCAACTAGCTTTGTGACAGTGTCCATCCATTTGAAATCCCTTTCTCTGATACCTAAGGAAAACAGAACATTATAGCCCAAACAACTCCTTTTTCATGCCTCATTTTTTTTAGAAAGTTTTTCTCCAGTGGCAGGAGATGGGAAAACTCTCAGTTCATGAGCATCAGATTGTGGAACATGTGCAAATATTAGTTGCAATTTTAAATATTTGAGAATGTGCCAGAAATATATATATTTAAGATGCCACTGCCTACACAGTTTGCACTTGCAGAGGGGGTGACATCTGGTTGAATGTAACAATGTCTACACCATAGGCTTTTGCTCCACACAGTGACAAACGGATTGTCCTTTACACTTTAACCTCTCAATTGCTTGGTATAAACCTTAGGTCGCATTCTTTTCTCTGTGATAAGTTGAAGAAGAACTGAGATTGGGGAAAACATTAGTCATGCTGGTGCTGAACTGCAAAATGACATTTCGGGTCATGAGAAGATGTAAAAATAAGGGAGGGACAGTTTTAGAGTCCTTAATGATCCACAAGCTAACAGTGCTCACCAGGCCAAGTCAGAGAATTGTCTGCTAAGCAGTTAAAGTATTCAGCATAGGTGTTTGTGAGTGTTTATGCTGGACTTCTGTCTTGTTGCTCTACTAGAAATCCAGAATATTCCTTTTAATCTACCAAGCCCCATTCAAGCTGTGATATACTATTCCAGGGATGATAATCAAACATCAAGAACACTTTTATGAAGTTCCGCATACGCCCAAAGCCTAAGAAGAGCCACAAATTAGGGAAACAAACCACTCAGAAGTCCAAGTAGTAGAGTTGAGGAGAGATTCATCATGCTGGGAGTAGGGGGTAAGGATGTTTCCAACTTAAGATGGTCCCTGAGTTATTTGTAGTGGACAGTTATGCATTCCAAATAAAATAAATTAGCACGGTGGGATGAAGCAGCATAATGTATTCAGGGAATGACAAACATGTACTTTACTTCTGGATGTCCATTCTGGACAGCAAACTGAAGTTGCTATCCATGATCAGGAAAGGCATTTGTCATATGCTATCCTGAAGACTGTGTGTTCTTGAGAATATCTGTATAACATAGGAGTGAACTGGCTTCTTGAGAATGTGGGCAAGATGGATACCATTTTCAAGGCCATTTGTGGTAACATAGAGGAGGGAGGGATATATTTCTATAGCAATCATTCCAAGTCTTAGTGAGTGTGTGGAGAATAGATTAGAAATTAAGAAAATTAAGAATGATAAAAAGCAGGAGGTTTGAAAAGGCAAACAGTGAAATTAAATAGACACACCAATTCAACCATTCTGAGATAATACTTAATCTGAAAGCCAATCTCAAATACTCTTAGTGCCCCTCCCCCTCCAACTACTCAAGTACCCATTGGTTCCAGTTTCTGTCACTATTTAACCATTTTGTTCTATTTTTGGAGGGCTTTTCTCTGGCTTCCAGAACTCTGCTAGTTTGCTCAACACCCTCATTACCTTCAACCCTTCCTAGGAGCAGCTTTTAACCTTCTGTTTAGCCTATTGAATATAGACCCAATTTGCTTCCTACTTTGTGGGATGGTAACTGGTAGATGTCACAGCAGCATTAGAACTCAATTATATAGGTGCTGGCCATTTTTTGATAACAATGCTTTTTTGCCTGCCTTCTCTAACCTTTCCATTTAAAATTTACTTTGACTTTTAACTGTGTGTCTGTGTCTGTGTCTGTATTGGGGTTGTGTGCACAAGAACTCAGGTGCCTGTGGAAGTCAGAATAGCATGTTGGATCCCCTGGAGCTGACATTACAGTTGGTTGTGAGCTGGGATTGGATGTGGGTGCTGGGAACCAAACTTGGGTCCTCTAGAAGAGCAGTAAGCACTCTCAACTGCTGAGCCATCTCTCTAGTCCCACACTGTAGTCACCTTTGAGATGAGGAAGTCAAACTAAAACAAAGTACACCATAAAGAAAAGCCTTATAATGAACAAAACACCCCAGGTGTAAGAGATATTTAACCAGTCATTCTGTTTGAGATAAAACTTTCAGAGTACCTAGAACTGAAGCAATTATCAGTGAGTTTAGAAATCACAAATACATTAGTAAGAAAGAAAACTGACATGAAATTCTTGATTGGAATGTTCCCACTGGCATTTTAAGCCTGCATTCTACTACTGAGTGGCACTTACAACCTCCACTAACTGTAATCTTTACATGATGATGAAGGAACATTGAGCTCAAGAGGAATAATCTTCCCCGGGGAAGAGCATACCAATTGGTTATCCAATACTAAATGGTCAGCCCTGAAAACATACATGCACATTACATTTTACTACACACACACACACACACACACACACACACACACACACACACACACACACACACACACGCACAATTAAAGAAAAGGAGGCCATGAATTTGAATGAGGGTAATGGGGGTATTAAGGAGAGGTTGGAGATAGTAAATCCAGAGAAAGAAATGATGTAATTATATTACAATCTCAAAAGCCCCCAAACGACATTAAAAATAGAATTTATTGATTGGAGCACACCAGAATCTCTAGTTGTTTTTTTTTTTAACATGTCCTATAACCCACGAACCACAGAACCAAATGAGTTAGTAGAGATGAGAAATCGCTGTGGCCCCACTGGCTGTTAGATGCACAGTGTGGGTTCAGCAGGGGACTTACATTTGCCTTCCTCATTCCTGCAGAGAACTTTGGTGTCGTCTGTGTTTTGAATAACTTCAAGGGATTCTCCGGGTTTTATCTGCAGATCTCTAGCTCCCCACTTTTTAGAAGTTATGGAGGAAGCAACTTTCGTTGAATAAAGAACTCGAATTTCACCATCATACTGAAAAAAAAAACATTAAAAGTACTGATATGTATTCTTACAGTAATTCATTTATTGACATATTTATTGAGACTTTTTTCTGCACATGTCTGTGGGGGTTGTCTTGATTATGTTAATTGATAGAGGATAACTATGTTCATTATGAGTGGAACCATTCCATGGGCAGGGGATCCTGGACTGGAGTGAAGTGGAGAAAATAGATAAGCACTAGTGTGCATGTATTTGTGTCTCTCTGCCTTGTGACTGCACATACAATGAGACCAGCCCCATTAAGCTCCTGCCTCTGTGACTTCTCCATGGTGACCTAGTCAAGAACTGTGAGCCAAAATAAAAGCCTTGTCCTTCAAGATGCTTTTATCTGGGAATTTTATTATAGCCATGAGATAATAACTAAGACAACTCATAATCTCACCAACTTTATGTAACTAATATGTATAGATTATCACTTCATTAAAGGTCAACGAACATCTAAATTTAAATAGTTATCATAGATAATTTAAATTTAAATAGATATCATGAATAATATGATGGATATTAGCATGTTTGCTTGCTTGCTTAATTTATTGTAGGAATTAGAAAAGTTATGATAGATACCTTAAATTTTTTCCTGAGATCTTTTTCTTCTTTTTCCTGCTTTTTTAGCTTCTTGGGATCTTTTTCTTCTGCTTTTACCTTTCCAACATTAATTCCTTGACTAGAGAATAAACCAACACATTTAGAAATAGAAAAGAATGAATCATAACAGAGACTTAATCCTTTGCTTTTTGTTTGTTTGATTGTTTTATTTTTCAAGGCAGGGTCTCTCTGTGTAGCTTCCCCTGGCTGTCCTAGAACTTCATCTGTAGACTAAGCTAGTCTTAAACTCATAGAGACCTCCTTACCTCTGCCTCCCAAGGGCCAGGATTGAAGGTGTATGCCACCGCTGCCCAGCCTGAGTCTTAATCCTTAACATTAAATTTTTCAATGGGTGTGTGTGTGTATGATAGGATCTTACAATATACACTGGAACTCGTTATGTAGGCCAGGCTGGCCTTAAACTCACAGAGATCCATCTGCCTCTGCCTTCCAATTGCTGGGACTAAAGGTGTGCACCACCATGCCCAGTATGTAATAATATATTTTTGTTCAGTGTTGTTTTTTTATTTAATACTGAGCATTATAATCAATTATGTATTTCTTACATATAGAAGGGGTTCATGATTAAATAATACAACACACAATTTAAACTGTAAGTAAAATGTCCTATTGAACCAATAATAAAACTGAACAAGATGAAATATGACTGCATACCATGGTTTCATGTGATTAAACCTATACTTAAACCATGTACATTTTCTAGTTCTTTCTAAAAAACTTAATGTCAGAGATAATGTTATTAAAAAGACTCAACAATGCTTTTTTAAAGGAACTGAGTTGTATGGTTTCTAAATTTATCTACCTTAATATTTTCACATCTGATTAAAATGGAGCTATGAGAAAAGAGATGGGGTTCAGTGATGGAGCATTCACATACCACATCCTAGACTTGATTTAGAGCAGAGAAATAATACAGAGAAATAAATGGAGACAGCATGGAGCACAGGAAGTATTGGTTAATGAAAAGTACTGGTTTGCTGGGTGGTGGTGGTGCATGCCTTTAATCCCAGCACTCCTGGGAGGCAGAGGCAGCAGATCTCTGTGAGTTCCAGAAGAGCCTCCAAAACAATACAGAGAAACCCTGTTTCGAAAAACCAAAAAAAAAAAAAAAAAAAAAAAAAAGGAAAAGAAAAGAAAAAAGAAAAGTACTGGTTTATGTAAAATTACTATTTTCAATATCATGAGGCAGCATCTTAAAGAAAATAGTTAATAATCAATAGTCAGTCTGTACCTTGGCCATTCCATTAAATTGCTCATTGGAAAATGAAAGTTCAATACAGAGTGGGAAGAAGTGTGAATCCCTGTAGAAGGGAGGTTTTTTTGTTTGTTTGTTTTTTTGTTTTTTATGAGACAGGGTTTCTCTGTATTGTTTTGGAGGCTGTCGGTCCAGCCCGGCCTTGAACTCACAGAGATCCGCCTGCCTCTGCCTCCCCAGTGCTGTGATTAAAGGCGTGCGCCACCACCGCCCGGTGGGAGTTTTTGTTTTTAAGTACTAGAATATTTGTGAATTGTAGAGTAAAGCATTTTCCTTGCCAGCTGCTTTGGTTTTTCCCCACCAGTTGCCTGGGCTCTGCCGCGTTGTAGTCCCCAAATAACACACAAGACGCTGTATTAATTATGAAGCTGTTGGCCTTGCTTGTTTTATACTGGCTAGCTCTGACTTAAGTATTTACCCCATAATTGCTATTGTAAGTATTTCTCTTACTGGAGAAAAGATCTGGACTTCTTACCCCTACGGCAGCTATATCTTGAATCCCTGTGTTTCTCCTACTCAGAGTCCTCCTCGACTCCTAGTCCCACCTATCTTGCTTCCCTGTTGGCCAAAAGTGCTTTATTGACATATACACAGGACTTCCTCATCATCTCCTCCTTTCTGTCTAAATAAAAAAAAGGTCTTAACTTTAACATAGTCAAATTATATATAACAGAACAGCTATCAAGCAAGAACACAGTTACAATATTTTGTCTATCAACATTCAGCAAAATTTAAAGAAAATATCATCTATGCCATCTTTGTGAGTCCAAAGTCTTATATATAGCTTATCTTTTGTCATAACTAAGGAAAACTATGATTATAACTATCTGTCTTCAACTGTATCAAAGACCACAGAAGGATAATATATAAACACTATAATTGACAGAGACATCTCGCTACCTGGACAGTCACCCGAAGTTCCTCTGTAATATTGGGGCATCCATCTTCAGCCAATAGGCCACAATGTGTCCAGAAGACTTCTCAGCAAAGCAGGAAATTTCAAACTGTACCTCTGCATTGGCAGTCTGTTAGTCATTTTTCTGTGTCCTGTAGAAAGTCTGGTAGACTCTTCATGAAGTAGGAACCCTGAAGGACTATTTGAGTTCAGCAGTCACTTTCCTGTGGGTCCTGAGTTTATACATCAACAGTCCAGCAGTCTAGGCAACAGCATATTCTTGCCCAAATGGTTAATCTTGCCATGTTGAAAGCAAACTCCGTAACGAGTTCCTTCGATGCCCATCTTCCTCTCAGACATAATTGGTGCTGCCAGGAGCAGACATTTCTCATTGTCAAGAAAAACCCTAAACCATTTTAAATGCCATTTTCTGAAGGTCTTTGAAAGGTTTGAAGACTGTCTATCTCGAATATATTTCTGTATATCTATAAAACCTAACTTACCCAACTATAAGTTCTATTATAAGTAACTATCTATAGTCTGTATTTAATTATGCATTATGCTTTTAAAGATCAGTATAAGCACAATACTTAATCAAGAGGAGAAATATGCACATCACAAAATTGACCTTGAATTTGTATCACTAAATGAAAAACCATACCATTGCAAAGTACTCATTTCCATACCATAATCCCCTTTTTCCTTTAAAAAAAGATTTGTTGTGATCATTAACCAATTATAAGCAACCCCATTCAAATAAAAACAAAGATTTCATTACTGGACTCTTAATGATCTTCAAAAACGATTAGGAGAAATCTCTCAATTACAGACAATTATTCGTGTAGAAGGGCATGATTTAAAACACCTGAAAATGGCTTTAAAAGGAGATAAAGAGCTAAATAGCCCACGAGTACTATCAGCTGAGGCTGAAAAAGAATATAATGGGTAGAAAAGAGAATATTAGAAGCACATGTGGACCGTGTGGATCCAAAACTGGACTGTATTCTGGTTATTTTACCATTTAGAGAATACCCCTCAGGAATATTAATGGAGAGGGAAGACATCATACTAGAATGGGTATTTCTGCTACATAAACAGAATAAAAAATTGAAAACATATATAGAAAAGATCTCCGATTTGATATTAAAAGGTAAGTTAAGGCTTCGTCAACTGACTGGGAAAGACCCAGCTGAAATTATTGTACCTTGAACGAATGAGGAAATTTCCTCCTTATGGAAGGATAATGAGTATTGGCAAATAGCTTGCAGTGACTTTTTGGGAACTATTAGTAACAACTATCCCAAAACAGAGAGAATCAAATTCATAAAGAAAACAATTTGGATTCTTCTGCATATCATGAGACAAACACCTATTTCTGGAGTTCTTACCTTCTACACGGATGCAAACAAATCAGGTAAGGCAGGATATAAATCAAGAAATATAAGTAAAGTAGTTCGAAGCCCTTACAACTCTGTACAAAAAGCAGGGTGATATGCCATTCTCATGGTACTTAAAGACTTTACAGAGCCTCTCAATATAGTCACGGATTCTCAGTATGCAGAGAGAGTTGTCTTGCACATTGAGACTACAGAATTTGTTCCTGATGGCACAGAATTAACCTCATTGTTTTTATAATTACAGGAAACCATCAGAAACAGGACTCATCCTATATATATATAACACACATCAGATCCCATACAGGTCTGCCAGGTCCTCTGGCGCAAGGCAATGATGAAATTGATCGTTTATTAGTAGGTAATGTGTTGGAAGCTTCAGAATTTCATAAGAAACACCATGTTAACAGCAAAGGTTTAAAGAAGGATTTTTCTATCACATGGCAACAAACCAAAGAAATAGTAAGAAATTGCCCCACTTGCTCATTCTACAATCAAACTCTGTTACCAGCAGGTTGTAATTCTAAAGGTATTCACAGAAATGAACTTTTGCAAATGGATGTATTTCACTTCCAAGAATTTGGCAGTTTGAAATATGTACACCATACCATAGACACATTCTCAGGCTTCCAGTGGGCTACTGCCCTCAGCTCTGAAAAAGCTGACTCTGTTATTACATACCTCTTAGAGGTAATGGTTGTTATGGGTATACCTAAAACAATAAAAACTGACAATGGTCCAGCATATGTCTCCAGTAAATTGGAACAATTTTTCAAATATTATAATATAAAACATGTAACTGGTATACCTTACAATCCCACAGGACAAGCAGTGGTTGAAAGATCTAACAGAACCTTAAAAGAGATGCTTCATAAATAGCCAGGGGGAACAAAGACCCCCAAACACAGGTTACATAATGCTTTACTAACATTGAATTTTCTTAATGCTGATGAAAAAGGACAAACTGCAGCAGAAAGACATTGGACTACAGAGAAGACTTCTGAACTGAACCAACTGGTGTATTTTAAGGATGTTATGACCTCAGTCTGGAAACCAGGACATGTGTTACGTTGGGGAAGGGGTTTTGCTTTTGTTTCCACAGGAGAAGAAAAACTTTGGCTTCCATTGAAATTAATTAAGATTCGATCAGAGCAGAAGATATCTCAGGAGGAGGAAATATAACAGCTCATCTACAAAATCATATTCTACCATGGGTAAAGTGACCTCATAAAAGAGAAGTGCTTTTTTTTTTTGTCTCCACAGTTAAACTCAGCAAAGAATACTGGACGTATGGATTCCTGAAGAAGAATGAATAGCTACCCTGAGGACCATCAAACAAACGGTAACTCACTGTGTGGTATCGAAGTCTAAATCTCTCTATATTGTTTTTTATAGTATCCTTATATCTTTGTTTCTTCATATACTTCAGTCCCCATTCATTTAACTGAAGCTGGCTTTGGAGTTGGATTGGCTCTCCTACTCTAAATTCAAGCGTATTATTTAAATAAAATTCAGAATTTCTGTATTATATCAAAGAGCCATTGATATAAGACAGAAGAAAATAAAATTAGGAACTGTTATCTGTGGATTTTTTCCTGAAAAGTCTAATTTCCTTCATGTTTACCATCTTCCCTATTGTCACCTCTTCCAGTATGCATACATATAAAAGTTAAAATATTTCTTTGTTAACATTAATGTTTGAGTTTTCCAGAGAACAAGGGATTTCCTGACAGCAATCTTCAACTGCTTCGGAAAGAGAATGAGGATCCACTTCCTTGACTCCACCTGATTCGACTGGAGACATCTGAACTGCCCCACATCATCGACTCCACCTGACAAGCACCATCCTGAAACCAGCTTGGAACAACATCACTCGACACAACTCCAGACCGAGGAACTGATACAGCTCTACAATCTGGCCAAGGCTTCAGACATGAGCTTCAATCAACACTAGAACTCCAGTCAGGAACTTCAATCAAGCATCTCCTGCCAAACAGAGACTGTCTGATCTACTGGAGATTTTGTTACACTAACATTTTTCTTCTCACAGGTCCCCATGAGATTGTCATCGTCCTATCTCAGCAGGAAGTAGTTTCGAGAATTCCACGCCCCCTCTCCCTACTGTTGATGTTATAGAATAGTTTACACCTGTTAGTGTTAGTTTTCAATTATTTTAGAGTTGGGATTGGAAAGAGGTGTTCAGACTTGGGTGTTTCTTTCAGATAAGTTTAGGTTTAGATGGGGTAGATGTTTGATACATTTTGTTCATCGACACAAGTTAGTTGTTTTAAGCTTAAATATCCTTTTTAGACTAAAAGGGGAATTGTAGGGTGAAATTTGGTGCTCCGCCATTAGCCATGTGGCATATTAGAGGCGCATACAGATGAGGTAATAAAAGGGCAGTTTACCACACTGTTAACCACACCCACTTTAAGCATGACTAAAGAAGTATAGGGACATAGGCAGTGAACTACATCACCTGCTAGGCCCACTTTTGGGCATGGCTAGGTGCGTGTATGGGGGAAGGTATAAAAGACTGTTAGCAGAACGTCTCGCCCTCTTTCCGGCTTCCAGTATTTCCGGAAAAATACTTGGCTCATCTGGGTTGCTTGTTTTTCTCTTGTGAGTAATTTCTACAATAAATACTTACTTATACTTTCAGTAAGTGTGCCGTTTATTGTTGCAGCACCAGTGAATAGCAAAAATTTGACACTGGTATTAATTTTCATTGTGATTATCTAGAAAAAAATTGCTTGTTACTTCAAAATGTTTGCTTTTTAAGAATTTTAGCATTTATCTTGTTCACTGTGAAAAGAATGAAGACCATTACCCACTTTGGTCTTGCATCATTCCCCAGGACCTCCTGCCTTTCATCATCTGGGCATTGGTGAAATTGCTGGCCCAGATTAGCTCTCTGGGATGATCAGAGCATGAATGAATGCTGAAAATGCCCCACAAGCTATTTCTGAAAATAACTTATTCCAAAATAAAATACTGTGTTTAAAAATATAGAATTTTTAACTTCTGAAAATAAGCAATGAGTAAGAAAAAAATGGTCATATCCGATCAAGTTTAATCAGCTGGAGTTTGTTTTGCTCCAAGAAAGGGGCCAGGATGTGGTTCTGGGTTCCTGGAGAGCTAGCTAATGGAATGTGGGGATGTTTCCAGAGCAATACGAAACAGAAAAAATGTATTAGAACCCAGTAAAGATAGGCCCAATGTCCTGGTGGTGAGGAATATTAAAATGAATAATTTACCAAGGGTAGATTTTCCTTTCTCAGACAACTAAAGGGGAGGCAAGCATTATTTCCTCTTTCTTGCTTGTTTTGCCTGTAGAACTTGATCTTCATTTGTGAGCATCAGCATATTTTGCCTTCAGCTTCTTTGATCTTGATACTGTTCGTAGTTCAGTAAAATTGGCTTAATGTGGTAAGACTAAATACTTGACATTCTCTTGTCCATTCTTAAGGACAGCTCAGCAGGCATGACTCGAGTCACTAATGCTAGTTCTGTCCTTAACTAACCAACTATGTCATTTGTTTCATTTATCTCCTTCTTGAGCACACTGCTGGAGTTCTTTCTTTTGTACACAGCTCATCTCACATAGTTTTTGGAAATGAGCAGGTATTTTAGTACAATATATTCTAACTCAGAAGAATTTTCAGCGGGTGTTCGTGTTTTGCTAATTGATCTTAACTACTTTTCATATACTTTTAACCTTAAAGTTAAATGCATGCCTCAGATAAACTGAAGTTATTGTTCATTGTTAACTCATAAAATAAGTTTGCATAAAACTTTCGAGCATCCAATGGGTTTGTGAACAAAAACAGACATACATGAAAGTCCTTCTAAGCAACAAATTCTGTTATTTTTCACACCAAAAACCAGTTGTGGAAGACAGGAAAGAAGAAAGATGAGGACTGAGATAGAAAGGAAGTGTGTTCGAGGGAAAAAGGTTGGGGAAAGGGTAAAAATAAGAGGATGAATCATTGAAATTGCTTATGAAGAGAATCCCAAGTATATATTCCCGATAAATGAGTGAATACAGACAGCCATGAGTCACCAGTAACCAGCAGAGATTAGTCAGGGAACAAGGGGCAGAACTAGTGCCTAGAGTCAGGAGAAAAGATGCATAAGGGGAGAGGAGCAAGAGTTAACTTGCTAACAAACCTAGCTGTCAGGTGAGGGCTGTGATCAGAAATGAGCACAGTTTTAGCAAAGCATGGCAGAGACCACATGACTGCACACAGCACACATACAGCAAGCTGGAGTTTTAATCCAGTTCAGTGTTGATGAGCAGTCTCCTTGTCAACACTTCATCGGAATGAAAAGCATTGTACTGACCTCATCTCTGCAGGTGGAGCAGGGAAGTCTGAGGCATCCACATCATCGTAAACTTCTTCTCCTGCATCTAATAAAAGACAGAATATCAAATATTGAAATGTTGCTAAGTTAAGTTTTGATATGAACATTCAATGATGTTATTAAAAACTGAAGACTGCTTCATAGTAAGAAATTTCTCAGGGACTGTATATATTTCTATTAAATGCATTGCCTGATTCTCAAAGGAAGGAAGAAAGGAGGGAGTTTCTTACCTTCCTGGGTGTGAGCATTAAACTTGGAACAATAAATAAGTAAGCAAAGAAACAATGGAAACCAGTGAATATGATTACAACTATCATTATTTGGGGCAATAAAACCCAACCCTTGAATAGTGCTGTGACTATAAATTTTTCCAAGTGCAATCAGTGAATGAATGGTGGGATTTAAAAACTGCCGACAAAGAAATCAACTCTCTTGGCTATTGACAGTAGGAAGTAGACAGAAATTCTTACATGATATGGAGTGCTATGCAATTCATCCTATTTGTATATCTCTGTGTCAGTCTCCTATCTCTACGATCTATCTATCATCTATCTATCTATCTATCTATCTATCTATCTATCTATCTATCTATCTATCATCTATCCAGTCATCTGTCTAGTTATGTGTATCATCTATCATACACCATCTTCTTTTAATGATTTGTTCCATATTAATTTATACTCTACAGTGATAGTATGGTTGTACTGCCTTCAAAGGAAAATCTTATTTCTACAATGTTATATATAAATATCTGGGAAACAATAGATAGAAAACTAGCCATGACTGGTATGGTGGACTGGATGAGAATGGCCCCAATCCCAGCTTATGCAGTGCTGGGAATCAAATTCGGTGCTACTAACTGAGCCACACCTCCAGCTTGACATTTTCCCTCCCTCCCTCCCTCCCTCCCTCCCTCCCTCCCTCCCTCCCTCCCTCCCTTCTCTTCCCTTTCTCTCTTTTTTTTGAGAAAGAGTTTCACTGTGTAGACTTGGTTGTCCTTGAACTTGTTCTGTAGACCAGACTGGCCTCAAACTCAGAAATCTGTCTGCCTCTGCCTCTCAAGTACTGGAATTAAAGGTGTGTGCCAGCTCTCTTACAAGATTATTTATGAATTTAAATAGGTAAACTCTCTAAAGGCCCTTCAATACTTTTGGAGACATTTTATTTGAATTAGTGAAACTTTTAACAAATCTTGAAAAGATCTGTCTCAGTGAGGTTTTCAAAGAGACCATTGGAGTTGTAAAAGAAGACACTGTTAACCCCCCCCCAAGAGTTAAGAGAGAATATCTGGAAGTATCTAGATGTGTGTCTTTTGAATGTTTTTCCACATTTATATGCATGATTTGCATATATTAAGCATGGATTGAATGGGGTGGGGCCAATTGACCCTGGTACCCATCACTTTCCTCCTATCTCTGTGCCTCAGTGGCTTTCAGATCAATACTTTGAAGCTGTCTGTGCTGGTTTGAGTGAGGTGAGAAGCACCTTATGGTCTCAGGCATTTGAATAATTGGTCCCCAATTGCAGGTCTAACCTTGGTGATGTTTGTCACTAGTGGTGGCTTTGAGAGTTGAAAATGCCCCATCACCAGTTCATTCTTTTTGATGCTTGAGGTTCAAGATGTGAATCCTCAGCTTCCTGCTCCTGCTACCATGCCTTCATGAAGGTGCATCATAGTAATGGAAAAAATAGCTAATATAGAAGTTGGTACCAAGGAGTCGGCTACTTCTATGACATGACTGACCATGTTGCTTTTGGGAGGAATATTCTGGTGTTTTATCACAACAATGAGAAGTATCTGATACATGAAGCTTTTGTATTTTTATGATTCTGTTATTCTATCCTTGGGTCGTTGGAATCATCCAGGGTGAAATTGCTTGTGCAATGTGACATATTTATTGTTTGCAGTCAGGACTTAAAGCAGGCACATTCCTTTCTTGATTACATCCAACACTTCCCACTACCTCATGTGTAAGAAGTAACTTGTAAAATACACAATTAGTTTTTATTACTTACCCAATTCTTTAGGAGGAGAAGGGAAACTGAAAAAAATGAGAATATAGTTAAAATCTGAGTAACACGAACCTTAAAATTAACTCCTTTACATGAAAGAGGTGTGAAAAGCAATATTCTAGAGGTGTGAAATGGGTTAATCTGTGGATCATTATACCTTTCTTATCCTCCATTTCCCACTGATTTCTAGCCATCAATTTGGAATATATTGAGACTAGTTTTGAAGTAGTTTCATTGTTCAAAAATAGTCAAGAGTGATGACAGTCAGTTTATGTCACCCAGTCACTAGACCAATATTTCAGATTTGCTCTAAGGTTTGGGAATATTATCACACCAGAGTATGATAAATGGGCTCAGTATTTTGGAGCCTCATGCTATCCATAGGTCTGACCCAAACTGTTTATTTGAATTGAGGGTTGAAATTACAGAGCCAAAATCAACAGCAGTCATTGGCATATGACCACATTTCTCTGGTATGTACATATCTGCACCACACTGGAAAATGAGGAATAAGAAAGGAATGTACATTTAAACTAGACAGTGAGAGCTTATAGACAGGGGTGGGAGGGAACTAAGATTAGGTGGTATTTAGTTGTAGCAGAAAAGGACTTTGTTGTTTTTATTATTTTCTGAACTCTGAGAGCTACACACACACACACACACACACACACACGCACACACACACGCACACGCGCGCGCACACACACACACCACACACGCTTCTGAAAGATTCATGTATAGCACAGGAATGACTGGTTAAAGTTGATGATGACAATATTTGCTCAAACAACCCCAAATCAGAATTTGGCAATGTGAAAAGGCAAAAAATGTCTCTTCCTTTACCCCCACATAAAGGTTATATTTGAGCAGCGTTGCTCAGAAGACTTCCTGTTAAGTGTACTCAAAATTGTAAGTGTACAATTTATTGACTGCCATTCTGGTGCTCTACAAAAACAAAGATCAAATTAGGAATATGGTGTGAAAACAACTTGCAAGGATTTCAGTTAAATGTGATGAACACATTAAAAATGCAAAACAGAAAGTATCTTCTGAACATGATTATGATCCTTCAAGTTTATATACATGGAATTTATGCTAAGGGGCTCTTTTGAGATTGGGTGGGGAGAGACAATTTATTCATTAGTTATTTAGATAAATTTGAAATACTGACAATAAGTCTATATAGGTATATAATTAAGAACAGTTGTAAAAAATTCAATATTACATTCAGAGAAATATTCCAAGTTATTTTAAATTAACTTTTAATAGAGAATAATTAGTTTTAAAAGTAGTCATAATAATGTAAAATGTAGGCTGCCATCAGGATAGTAAAGTTGTAGATGGGACTGTACAGATGAGAGAAATCCTACTGAGAAGTGTGTGTGTTCATGAATGACTGTGTGTGCTTGAGTGTGTGTGTGAGTGTGTGCATATGTGTGTGTATTTTTATGCAAGTTTTCAGGGAGAGCAAAGTGTATCTTAGAGTTACATGGTAATTTTAAAATAACTGGGGTCCTCTGATATAATTAACATATACTGTGAGATGACTGTAAGATGATTAATGGAAAATAACAGTAAAGTGGTGTCAGTTTATCAGGGTTTGCTTATTGGTTATAGAATATTAGTAGCATTCAACTAAACCAATATTAGTGTAGTTATTGTGCACTGAAGGTGGTCAGTTGACTCTTACGATGAACCTTCATTACTGTCTGAATCAGAGACTTTAGGTTTCTCTCGAATACTTTTCTTTCTGTCATCTTTTCCCTTTAACATCTTCAAAATCCCCCAGGACCACGTGTTGGTCTTCTCTTCAACCTGCAGCGTGGATCTTTGGAGCGTTGATCAGAATGTAATAATCAGCAGACCACAAAGACATTGTGTGGACATTCGGAATTTAAATAATTGCACTATGCTGACAAGTGAGTAGGTCATTGTAGCCAATAATGTAGTGCTTCTAAGTACAAATTCTGGTGAGTGAATATTTCTTTCACTAGGCTGGTCACTTTTTACTTACTCAATAAGATTTGCCTAGGTTCCTGAAACATAAAACTAGGTCAAGTCAGTTAGAATGAAGTTTAAAATGTCTACCTGGTATTGTTCATGATTCAAATAAAATAATTAAGCTATGCAATATCAGTTCTGCTATAAAACTACCACAGATATCAAATGGTCTCAATTAATTTAAAGCAAGACCTTACTCTGTAGCCCAGGTTAGCCTGGGGTTTATTAAGCAGCTCAGACTTGCCCTGAACTGCTGGTTCAAGTGATCCATCTGTCTAAGCCTCTAGAGTGCTAGAACTACAGGTATGAGCCTTATCATCCAGCTGTAATTACGTTATTATTAAAAAAACATTCCAGCTACATAACTGCTAAACTCCAGAGATGGCTGTAAATTATTGATTATAGATAAATGATTCGAAAGTATTTTTTAAACATCCACAGCACTTGTAATTTGTTCTCTTTTCATTTCATTTTTTCCATATAATGGAGATTTTTTCCAATTTACCATTTCATTTCCAGTGTGATACAATTATCCTTCTTATCATTACTGTCAGTTAAACCTTCACATATTTTAAGATTGAATAAGATATTTTCTACTTTTTGAATAAGAAGAATATTTTCTACTTTTTATTTTATCTGGAAATGAAAACTAAATTTCCATATATGTAATCTTTTACAAGAGAAAGAGGCAATTCAATGATTATTCTTACCCATCATCAGCATTTTCCTCTTCTATCCCATCATAAATGTCATCATCTGGTGGTGGTGGGAACATACCTTCATTTGGGTTAGGAAGGAAACCTTTTGTCAACTTTGCAATCTGGTCAAATACAGGTCACTCTGGTTTTGGTACTAATTCTCCCCTATTTGACTGCAGTCAGCAACCTTCTTTCAAATTATCCATTCAACTAGAAAACTTTACAATTTCCCAGCATCACATAGGTAGTTAATATTTCAGTTACTTTATTGATTATTTTAAAGCATTTTAGGGCCAAAGCCATAAGAAAGAAATGAGTGATGGTTGGCATTCTGGATTTTTATGTAAAATAAATGGGCGAGAATTAATACCAGAGTAAGTAAACAGAATAAGAAGTAGAATTAGATATTTATCATGAAAACGCAGAGGTCAGGAGGTAGTAAGAAAAATTCAGGGCTGGAGAGATGGCTCAGTGATTTAGAGCACTGGCTGCTCTTGCAGAAGATCTAGGTTCAATTCCCAGTACCCAAATGGCAGCTCACAACTGTCTGCAACTCCAGTTCCAGGGAATCTGACACCCTCTCATACAGATGTGCATGCAAGCAAAACACCAATGCACATAAAAAGGATAAACAAATCATTAAATTCTTTTAAAATCAGTTAATAGTGAGTAGACACTGAAGAAAAGAGATACCTTGATAGAAGGAGCTATTACGGGGTTAATGTGAAACCTGGTACTAGGGAAATTCCCAGGAACCCAAAAAAATGACTCCAACTAAGAATCTAAGTAGTAGTGGAGAGGCTACCTTAAATGCCCTTCCCTTATAATTAGACTGACGAAAACAAAAGAGTCACCAATAAAGAAAATGGAACGGAATGGAAGGTGGCTCAGTAGACACTGCTAGCAACTGAAAGAAACTACTAAAGAAAGGTCACATTTCAATACATATACAGTATACTAAAGCCCTTGCTTGTTTTATTTTCTATGCTTGCTCTTAGGAACTGTGCTATATGATGGATATCTACTTAAGTATTTGTTGACTACCTTCTATGTGCAGGAAAATGACCTTGAAATATAACTTTCAAGTGTGAAAATTTGAGTTCTTGGTTTTGTTGCCTGGGTCTTTAAGTGGCATCATCAAGGTAGCCATATAGTTTGCCATCTAGACAGGGATAGTTCTGGAAGGAAAGAGGGGTGTTTATTATTGTGTTCAGACAGTCTGCAGATAGTAAGACTATCCCAGGAACACTGGGAGTAGAGTCACACTAGCATCCACGGCAAACCTGAAAGACAGATGTGACTGCCTCAAGTCACTTGTTGACCAGGCCTAGAATCTGGGTTGTAGTCTCCAAGTCAGACCTTTTCCCCCATTAAAATCCCAATAGGTCTTTCATTTCTGGTTCCTAGGTTTTATACGGTACATAAAATCATCATGTATGTATATATGATAAGAAAGCAGAAGAGAAACTGTCTAGGGGAACAAAGGGACTAAGGGGTGAGAAGAGGAGGGAGAGGGAAGGTAAAGGTCAGGAGGGATAAAATAAAGTTCATTATATACTTGTTCAAAATGTTCTATAGAAATCAGTACAATGTGCCGATTTCTATAGAACATTTGGTCTATTGCCTGACCTCCTGACAATAGACCAAAAAATTATATTTTAAATCCTCAATGTATAGAAATATAAAAAAATCCCTTTTCCTGTTAGCCAACTCGTGTTTTGTCATTAACATACTCAAACATTTTCAAGACTGCAAACACAGAAAGTGCGTGTCTCACCTCCGCTGCCGCTGTGACCATGGCTAAGAACAAAACAGAAATAATAAATGTATGAATTTTTTAGTTTTCAATAAGAGAAATTCAAATACTAAGAAGACTGTAAAAGTTAACATTCTATTTAAAACTAGGATGAAATATATGAAGAGCAAAAAAGAATGTTCACTGTAGTAGATACATCGTGACAAGGGAACATAATATAGCCATTACACAACCAGCAAGAACCAATGAGTTATAGTAATATAGTTCACAACAATTATACTGTTTGCTTTCAATAAATTTCCCATGAATCAATTTTCAGTAATTACACATTATATTTATAATTACTTTAAAAACAACTTTGTGTTATTTTAGGAGTCAAATAGGACAATTACCATTGCATTCAATTCAACTCTTTTCAGCATCTTAGAACCACAGTATGTAACTCTTTTTTTTTTTTTTTTTTTGGTTTTACGAGACAGGGTTTCTCTGTATTGTTTTGGAGGCTGTCGGTCCAGCCTGGCCTCAAACTCACAGAGATCTGCCTGCTTCTGCCTCCCGAGTGCTGGGATTAAAGGTGTGTGCCATCACCATCCGGCGTAACTCTTAATCTAAAATATCATTACACTGTGTTTTAAGAAAAACTTTTAAATTATGACCTTGATGGGAGTTTTATAAGGTGTGGCCCCCTACTTCTCTAAACCCAGATTGCCTTTGGGTTTTTTTTCATAGTACTGTAACTTTTTCTGTTTTAACTTTTATAGTTATGTGTTCCACTCTGTATCTTCCTGTGTGACTCATGTGAGAGCCAAGTGTGGGCACTGGAGAAACTTAGACATTGTCTATTTGTTCAGTTCTGCCATCTTGCAGGAAAGAATCCAGGACTTCAAGTACTTAGCCCTTTGAACCTAGCTACACTCGAACTCCCTTTGGCCTTTGAGTAAAGTGCCAGCAACAGGAATAAGTTTGATATTTTCAGAGTATAGGACAACTATATGCTGGCACCCAATTTTAATATTCCTTTTACAAGCCAGTGGGAGGAATTAGTCTGATGCATATCTTTGGTTAACTTAGAGATAAAAGTATACTGTTGTCAATGGAACTTTGTAGAAAGGCATGGAATATCATACTCTAGAAACTGACTTGTGAAGAAGTGGGCACATCCTCTCTGCTTGTCATCTTCATATCTATTTTCTCTGCTGCTTCTGTGCATGAGGCAATACTTGGAATTAACTGCATTCTGGCTGGCTGATGTTCCTCTTGGAGATTTTCACATCTAATGCCTTAGGAATGTCATGTGCTAGGAACAGAGCTACCACTTGCTAATTTCATCTACAGTGTGAATTTATATTTGTGTGTAGTATATGCACTTGGCTTGATCTTATAGAACATGAGTTTCTTAAACCTTTCTTTTTTATAGGTCAAATGTCTTAAGTATTTCAGTCTAGTCATGAGAATCTAATAAGCAAGCATGTGGGAGAAGATGGCCACCTTTGTTTCCTTCTCAAAAATGATGTTTTAGTTTTGTTACCCTGCTCCACAGAAGTGTGATCATTTTTCTAGGAGGAAATGCCACACCAGTGTAGTGGAATAAATAGACACTTCAATGTGGACATTTAGTCAATATCTAGGGATCATAGAGGATTGAGATTTGGCTTTTAAGGAATATACTGGAGTTGGAGTGAAAGCCATTTTTTCCTATTATATTTTCAAGCAATGACAGGAAATGCATTTATACTCAGAGATTTAAGGGTGAAAAAAGGGGTTTATACTTTATATTTTCTACTTTGCAGTTTCCCAAATCATACTAGTTTAGTCATGCCCCTAACTTCAAATCATGATAAATATTATAAAAGTGTTTTGTAGTGGACAGCACATTCAACACAATTATACAATCCATATTTCAAGTAACATGATGTGTGTAGCCAACAAATGAATAAAAGACAATGGAGTTTCACCTGGTCTTCCACTCAGACTAGGGCAATTTAGTTTAGTGATTGAGAGCATTATGTGACATGGAAGGTAAAATTGTGAAATCTTGAAATACATGCTGTCTGGTAAGGGGACAGTGATCTGCTTACAGTATGTGTGTCACATACCTGTTAAGAGCATCCTGATCAGCCACATCATCGTAGACTTCTTGGTCATCTTCAACAAGTCTAGATGGAACAGCATTGAGAGTATTCTGCTTCCGTTTCAGAGAATCATAGTCAATCTCGACAGCAGTTGTTTTAATGTAACCATCTACCCGAAGGGAAAAGAGGTCCAGATAATTGGAGCTTAAACACTTGAGAGTTATAATTGAAGTATCAATCATTCATCTGCTCTTGGATATTTCTCTTTAGGGCTGGGAATGGAGCCTAGCATGCCCAAAACTCTGGGTTTGGTCCCCAGGTTATGCATGTACCCACCCATGCACACACATAACCAAAAACTTCATTAAACATTAAAAAGGTGTCTTTGCTTGCAATCTTGACTTATAGACCTTCTGTGTAGCCACAGGCTTTATGAACTACCTCAGAGAATTACTCTGTGGCACTTTTAAGTGAGTCAAGAATCAATTTGAAGATTCTAAAGTGATTTGCATGACACATTTCTTCTAACAGAAATGGAGAACATAATGTCCTTTGTAAAATTTTACATTGCTTCCCATTAAAAGAAGTATATTTTCCATTTTAGATTTTTTTCTCTCTACTTACTCATGAGGCATGTAGATCTGGTAGGTTCTAATGTTAATTCAAAATGAACACATGGCTAGGCAAATCATAGACTCTAGGACAAAACATACTACTATTATTCTGACAAATGGATATAGAATGAAACTAAGTCCTAATGATTTATAAATACCCCCATAGAATAGGGCATCTTGCAATTCTCATCAGAGAAACTTCTGTTTGCAGATGCTCATCAAAGCACAGATTCACAATTGGCAAAAATGCAGAGAGTAACAGACCACAGAATGCCTGATCTTACATGGAAGGTACTTATGACACCCCTTCCTCCAGAGTCTCAGCAATATTGCAGAAGAGGGGCAGAAAGAGTGTAAGAGCCAGAAGTGGTGGATGATAACAAGGAAACTGTCCCCTGGACACAGCAGGCCAGCAGTTGTAAAGGCATCCCACCCCTTAACCAAGAAGGGACTAGTCATTTTTAGTTGTTGGGAAAGGAAGAGGCAGTTTGTTCTAAGAGTATAGCCCATGGTATAGACCACACTCGAGTGAAAGGCCCCACATCCAAGAGTATTTGGGTAGCATGAATTGGTATTTATGGGGAAAAGATAAAGGTAAAAATAATACAAAGTTGGTTGAAAAGGAAACAGAGGTTGAATCTGGGAAGAGTTTGGGGAGGGAAGGTGGATATGATAAAAGACATGAAATCTCAAAGAACTAGCAAAAAACAATAAAGAAACAACAGAGAGAAAGAGGGAGGAGAGAGGGATAGAGGGAAGGAGGGAGGGGGGAAGACAAGCCTTCCAAGCCTTGAAACCTAGCAAAGACACTCACATGACCCCCTGGCAGTTCTGCCCAGCCATTTTCCTTCTGGGTTGTCAGTGATGCGGATTATTTCAATGTCCTCCCCTTGCTTGAAGCTCAATTCATTCTTCCCTCCTTTGACATCACAACACGCTTTTGCATGATGGATGACTTGGATGGGGCCTGTTAGCTACAAGAGAATGGAGAAGTATAACAAAGAACCATGAAGGAATATTATTTTGAATGGCAACAATCCCACAACTGTCATTCATGGTGAATGCTTTTATTGAAAGATTCAGGGTAAATCATAGAGGTGCAGCAAGGCCAACAAAGAACAGGATAGCATGTGTTTGTGGTTCATGAGAGAAGTGGTAGGAATCTGCTACACATAAGCACCCTGGAAAAGCATCGAATGAAAGGGCACCGTTTAGGTACTTATGTACACTAGCCTTTCCTTCCTTCCTTCCTTCCTTCCTTCCTTCCTTCCTTCCTTCCTTCCTTCCTTCCACTTGTTAAATATAAACCTGCAATAAATACTATCTGCTACAAGTGAGATAGCACTTTAAGAAATAGCTTCAAAAATAGTAAACAAATACTAGGCAAAGTTTTCATAACTAATATTATGGATATCATGATGACTTACTAATAGGATAATATTATCTTGCGGTATGAGTCCCTAGATCTGAACTTTCTATTTCTAAACTGGTGTCTTCAATAGGGTGTCTTTCATCTTTTGACAAATAAATATGGATTGTGGCTGGGCGGTGGTGGCACACGACTTTAATCCCAGCACTTGGGAGGCAGAGGCAGGCGGATCTCTGTGAGTTCGAGGCCGGGCTGGACCGATAGCCTCCGAAACAATACAGAGAAACCCTGTCTCGTAAAAACCAAATAAATAAATAAATATGGATTGTGATATTTTTGGAAGAAACTACCTATTGAAGTCTATGTTATTCTGAATTGTGTGACATATTAATTATGTACCATCAAGACTATTTTTAAGCTTATGTTGATACCCAACAGTCACATCAATTCTGGGATTTATTAGTAAGAGCAGAATCAAGTAGAAAGGCTTTGGACTGAGCTGGATTTGCTAGAGTTGGCCTCTGTGAATGATCTGCAATCAGCATTTGAATTACAGATCTTGTACTGTGTGTGAACGATCTGTAACCACTGTTTGGATTACAGGTCTTCTGTAGATGCACTGGGCTTGAGTCCACGCTGTGTAAAGAATGAGAACTGGCTACTTGCTGCCATTTTCTTACTACACCAGTGAGGTACATACATATCACCATGTTGGTTTTTGAGCAGGATTTCTTAATAATGCAGAATTTGTCTTAGTAGTCAATAAACATTGATATGCCAGCAAAAAGAAAAAGAAAAATCTAAGTTGAATTATGATATGCTCTGATGCTGATGCAGTCTACCATTTTACAAACCCCAATGTCTATTAACACCTGTCTGTAGTATAGCTTATATGGTCCCAGACTTGACAAACTCTTGAGTTCCTACCTACTGATATGACTTCTACATTCTATTTCAGTTATTAATAATATTATTTGAATAAATGTGTGAACAATGTATTGCTTCTTTTTCCAAACTGATCTCAAATCCTTGAAAACTATGAACAATCTCGCATGAAAAGTACACTATATATATATTCATGAATTAAATTAATTTTTACTTGAAGAATATACATCTTGGTAGTCACATATTCTGTGTGAGTAAAATGTTTAAGTTTTCAAATTGCAATCATAACTTTACTTGTACATAAAAAGGTTTTTTTCCAAAAATTTGTAAAAACTCATAGTAGATACAGTGATTATTTATATTCACTGTATTTCATTCAATCCCACAACAAACTATAGAAAAATGTCACTTAATTTCACTCTATATACTAAGAACCTGAATCTCAGAGGAGATAGGCAGTTAAGTTCAAGAGCACAGAATTTGTATGCACAGCTGGGATTGGAATCTACATCTATCCAAATGACTCCAAGTTGGATGTTTTCCTTGAATCATGTTGCTGAACTTTTGTTTCAACATAGTAAATGTACCGGGAAGTTATACATGAGTCATATTCTGTAATTCCATGTAGTAAATCCTCCAGAGAAATAAATATTTAAATAAAACAATATGAATTTCTTTAAAAGTGAAGAATAATTGTGTAATTCTGATCATCACTCTAAATACTTCTGAGGCACCAGAACATACCAGGTGGGTTATGTCATCAAATATGGAATAGCTAAGAAATTCAACCTGTGTATGTAGGAAGTGGTGGTATCAATAGAGGTGACAAAGTTGCCTAAAATCAGAGAAGATAAAGGTCAGAATTTGAGGCATTTAAATTCTGAGAGATAGCGGGCCTTAGAAATCAGCAAGTACAAGTCTTAAAGGCAAAAGTATAGTTCAAATCCAGATCCCAGCATCTCTAGCAGCCCAAAGAAATTGTGCTTCATGCAGCAACACTATGCCCATTGCTCCATAATGTGACATTCCAGCTGCAAGGCACACAGTGATGATGCATTCATTTCCTCGGTCAACATAAAATAACTGGGTATCATACCAATTATAAGCTACTTAAATTTTATTTGGATTTTTATCTTGTTTCATTTTTGGTGGTAGAGATAAGATAGTGTATTGAACCAAAAAAAGCATTGCTTCAAAACAGTGATTTAAAAAACTCTCAAACTTCGTCCATATTTATATTGTTACATTAAAAAGGTTCAAAATGATGCCACTGCTCTCCTCTTCAGCAAGCAAGCTCTTACCTTAAATTTCTTCCTCAATTCTTGTTCTTTCTTCTCTTTTTCTTTCTGTTCCTTCCTTTCTAGCTCTAACCTCTTCTTTTCCTCCTTTTCCCGTTTCTTGTCTCGTTCTCTGGATGATTCTCTGTGAATAGAAATTGTTAAGTTGTGGCTACAATGTGCAGGTGTCCATAGATCAGGAACTACTCTGCAGAGAGGTCTCTACCCACTACAGAAGGTTTCTGAAGAGGAGATGGAGGCAATAAGCTAAAGCTGTGAAAATTCTCGATGTGTGAGATCATTTGTACAGACAGAAGGAGGCCGGCAACTACAGATATGTTCTCTGGCAGCCCCAGCTCCTTCCCCCTGCAATGTGCACCCCAAAAAGACCCTCCCACACCCTCATGTCCTGTTGGCATTTCTCGCTCTCACTTCCATGGGTATGCATGAGTATGTGCTCCCAAGCACTGGGATTAATTTTGACGTAGAGATTAGTTACAACTGACCGAATAATTAGGTAGAGAAAATTAAGACACCTGAGCTCAGCATTGAATAAGATTACTGCTATTTTCAGAGTTTCCAAGAAATTTCTCAGTCTATTTTTAACTCTGTTGTGGAGTCGTGAAGTCATTTTTCATGTCTATCCAGCAGACTAGACCGTGGTCATAAGGGTGCTAGCCATGGCCCACAGCACCTGAGTGTCTGAGTGAATAAGGTATACTACACAGTGAATTAAGTCTTTTGATAGATACTAAGAGGGGAAATACAGATTCTTGAGTCTAGTCCCTGACTGTTTTTTCAAGTAGCTTGCAGTCTCACATAGAATTTTGTCACCAGAGTCCTGTGTAGAATCCTTGGAGAAGTAAACCAGTTTTAGTCCTTTGTAGTGAAATAAGGGATGTCATTACAGATCAACCATTTGTGTAAATAAAGACTTTTCTTCCCAGTCTTTTGTTCACCCATACTTCCTCTTACAAAACACTGTGTTCATCTTAAAAGAAAATACTTATGGTAACAAATGCAAGGCATACATGTCTTCATATGTCTCTCCTTCACTCTCTTGTTCCTATCAAGAAAAACAGACAATTATTAACTGGAATTATTCCAAAAGGTTGTGCATGTATTTCATTGGCAATTTATTCTTTAAAATAAATGCTTGTGAATTTATATAATTTGAGCCTAAATTGACACATTTAATTTTTTTCTTTCCTTCCTTCTTCCTTCCTTCTCTTCCATTCATCCTTTCTCTTTTTCTCTATCTCTTCCTTCCTTCCTTCCTTCCTTCCTTTTAATCACTGTTTCTCATGCTCTCCCATTTTGAAATTGTGATATAAATAGGAATAAGCAAAGGCGATTTCATTCTCTATCTTGTTCACTCATTAGCTGTGCAGCCAGACATAAGTTCAGCACTACACTACCATGAGTCAGCATACTGACTGGCATATAATGTTTCAAGCATTTCAATTAAGAAAGGTTAGAGTTGGAAAAATACCATTGATACTTGTAAAACTTTTTATTTGTCTATTTATAACAATAGAAAGTGACTCATAATAATTGTTAAATGTTCCAATTTTAGCAATAGAAAAAGAGAAATAAAAATATCTGACCTCTTCTAGAATTCCAGGACCTACAGGATTAAAAAAATACACTGTAATTACGAAGTACTTCAACATATGATCATTGGATAAAATAATACATCAGTTCAAAGTATGAGATAACTTATGCTTTAAAGCACTAAACATGTGCCTTAGATAATTCGTATTTTTAACACTTGTAAATTAATTGTAAAATTATTTTATTAATTTTCATAAGATAATGCAAAAATCAAAGACAATTATGCTCTTTTATTGCTTTATATAACTCATCATGCATTTGATGCTTGTACTTGTGTGAAATGTACAACAGGAAAAAAAATCACAAGTAGTCCACACTTTTTGACTCATTCTTTCTCAAGGAATTGCTTTCATGTATCAAACAAATCAAAGTGATTAAATTAAAAAGTACAATAGAGTTTAGTATAATATACAGTCAGATATCAAGACATTATCAAATATTATAATTAATAAGACAATAATATAAATGCAAGTATAATAACAAAACACAGATAGGACAAGGGAATTGAAAGAGAGCTCAGGGACTGTGCTGAATTGGTTTATGTAAACTTGGCACAAGTTAGAGTCATTTGAGAGGAGGAACATCAATTAAGAAAATGCCTCCATGGACAGTGGTGGCGCACACCTTTAATCTTAACACTCATGAGACAGACCAGGTGGATCTCTGTGAGTCCTAGGCCAGCTTGGTCTACAGAGTGAGTTCCAGGACAGCCAGGCCTGTTTCACAGAGAAAATATATCTTGAAAAAAGAAACAACAATAATAAAAATGCCTCCATAAGACCAGGTTGTAGGCAAGCCTGTAGGGCATTTTCTTAATCGGTGATTGATGGTGGAAGGCCCAGTCCATTGTGGGTAGTGCCATCACTGGACTGATGGTCATGGGTTCTATAAGAAAGCAATTTGAGCAAGCTGTGATAAGCAAGTCAGTAAACAGTATTTCTCCATGGCCTCTGCATCAGCCCCTGCCTCCCGATTCCTGCCTTACTTGAGTTCCTGTCCTGACTTCCTTCGATGATGAACTGTGATAAACTGAATAAATTCTTTCCTCTCCAAGCTTTTTTTGGTCACGGGATCTCATGAAGGCAATAGTAATCCTAACTAAGACAGAGACTAAGAGACATTTATGTATGGTCATATAATATATGTGCACATATACCGACAATCATATATAGCTGATATACTATAAGGGTTCACTATAAAATACTGGGAAGAGGATGGATTATTTTGTGTTTGGAAGGGAAAACACTGGCATTATATATGAAGTAGATTTTCTAGTTTTCTACTAAGTTCTCAAAGAGCAAAACACAAGGGATGAAATTTGTAGGAAAAAATAATAAGGAGCTGTTTTATTTTCTAAGAACTAACACTTCTTTAAAAAGTTAAAAAGAATATTTTCTAAAGCAAAAATTAATGAATCTGATAGTACCAAAATGTATTTGTGCTGGAGGAAGGACAGACCATGGAGAGAATGGAAGGACTTTGAGGTTGATATGGATTAATATTTGGACTACAGAGGAACACCTGCAAGTCAACCAGAGAAGACACATCCCCATGGGAGCAGAACTGTCAACAGAAAGAAGACATCTGGCAGGAGAGAAGGTCACAGTATCTTTTTTTTTTTTTTTTTTTTGGTTTTTCGAGACAGGGTTTCTCTGTATTGTTTTGGAGGCTATTGGTCCAGCCCAGCCTCGAACTCACAGAGATCCGCCTGCCTCTGCCTCCCGAGTGCTGGGATTAAAGGCATGCGCCACCACCGCCCGGCTAGGTCACAGTATCTTGTAAGTAAAGTAAGCTCTCAAACTCAAGAGCAGGACAGGGAATTGTGAAATGAAAACCAATATGAATTAGCCTTGGGAAGAGAGGCATTGTCTTCAGTGATGAAGCCATGAGCATACTCACATAGATAACATTGCTGAATTCAGTGGATTACAAAACAAGAGGCATGAAATGGAAGGGGGACCCACTCATGCTTGGGAAGTGGCATTGACGAGGGTGAGAGTGGGCTAAGAAAGGATGGGAGGGTGAGTGCGATCCAAAGGCACTATGCAGCTGTATGGCAACAGCGCAGCACAAGTTCAACGGACATAAAAAGTATAAAAATGAAAGTGAGATCTAATGTGATACCTTGCAATTAGGAAAAGGTTAGAAAGCTTAATGATGCTAGCTGATGGTAAAAGGGGGGCATGTTGCCATAGACATGCCCTGTTGTTGAGACTTACACAGACATCAATTCTGAATAGCATTCTAGTCTGACTCAGCAAAGCGAATACCTTGTAGCTCATCATCTTAGAAAAAGCCTCTCTGAGGTCCACATGGGATAAACATTCAGAGGAGCTCTGCAGTGTTTCTTATAGTTTCAGTGAGTAAGGGCTCAGTGAATGTGCTGCACTCCACAGGATAATGTGCAGTTTCTGAAGGAACTCTGGCCAGCTTGGATGTGGTGAGCATGACTCTGGCAGGCCTTGCCCTTCTCCCCATTTCCTCTGCCTTGTTAAAACCTGTTAGATTATATTTCTAAAGCTAGCCACCAAAGTCTATTCCCTTATTTGGCCACTTCCTCCTCCTGAGGCTTCCAAAGTCCAGCAATCAGAAGACCCCTTTGGTTTACCTAATTATCATTCCCAATTAAAATTAAATACCTCATCCTAATTTGGGGTTTCCCCCCTAACCTTTATAAACCTCCATGTTCCTATGGACCACATCTGTCTCCTCTCTATCCAGTCAGTCCTTTGTCCCTCCAGGACAAATACCCTTCCCCCCTTTCCTTCCCCTTCCTCCTCATCCCCCATCATCTTTAGCACAGCACCCTTGCCCATCTAACACAGACCTCCCCTTCTTCTCCTTTTAAAAATGACACCTGCAAGGTCATTTGTTGATAGTTTTCTGCCTGTTGATGGTTTTAACTTTTCTTCCTCACTTAATAAAAGGTCTCTCTGTGAAAACAGGTATTTGGGTGTAGTTTGTGCCTAATCCAGGGTCTGGGAGGAAGTCCCCACTGTGCAGGGTCCCCTTCAGTACTTACTGACAACGACTAAATGTGTACACAGTAATGAGGGTGAAGGCTGGGAAAATCCTTATGTTGAGTGTTCTCCAAAAGAAAATCCTATAACATACTTTTTATATAAATTACACATACACATACATACAAACATATATATGAAAAGATTATGTGCAAACACACAGTAAGTATTTTAGGATTTTTGTTTATAGTAAGAGAAAAGGTAATGAATCATAAGAATTCTAGGAAATAAGTAAAACAAAGGATCCTATGTAGACCAATGATGGTAAATCCATTAATGCTGCCATGACACTTAACTAATTCAAACATGTAGCTCAGATTTTTTTAAAAGTTACCCCTTACCATCAGAGTGCATGACACCATCTTGATTTTCGTCATTTATAGTATTTCTGAAAACAAGAAAAAAAGTGAGAATAAAGTAGACCCTCTTGCTTACTTTAAAATGAAAATATAGATGAACATATGCATGTGACAGCAAACAATGAAAAAAGCCATGGATTTGAAAGAGGAAAAGGAAGGTTGGGGGGAGTAAATGATGCAATTATAGTACAGTCTCAAACATAAAAAATATAAAAAGGAAAATTATTGAATTATTGTTTTCTCATTAATATTTGCTCTGACTTAAAATCTACACACACTGGAGTAGGCTTTAGTTATATGTTTATGCTACTATTGTGGATTTAAAAAAAGGATTACTGAGCTCAAGTTCACCAAAGCATTTCTTACCCTAGAAAACATCGTTTGCACACATATATTCAATTTAATGCCATTTTATATAGATCTGAGTTTATGCTCTACCTCATATTGAAGTATTAAGTATGTAACAGTGACCACAATAGCAGTGGCAGTGGAGAATAAAACGAACAAAGATGAGGATAAGAAATAGGTGTAAATGTCCTGAAAAAAACCAACCACAAGTCCAGTTACCACCAACTGCCCAGTGTTGAAGGCATAGAGACAAACCCCACAGACAGATGAAGAGGAGAACAACGGAACTAGTCACAATCAACAACACAGACAACTGAGCAGAGGGAGGGGCAAAGGAGGAGAAATGACAGGAAGCTTATCAGTGGTGATAAGTCCATTGGAGCAGGCCTTCACCACAGTTCTTTGTTTGGTCGCCACAGCCTAAAGAACTAAATGAAGTTCATTTAATACTAAGCCTGTCATGTTAGAAAGCCATTAGGGTGGGGTGGGGCCGTAGCTCAGTGACAGGGTCGAATGCTTAGTGTGTGTAGGGCCCTGGTTCAGTTCCCAGGTAGATAAAACCAAGCAAGCAAACAAGCAAAACCTCCAGGGGTTCTGTATCCTAACATTTAAAGGCGTAAGTCTGTTGGTGTTTTTTTGCTATATTCTCTCTTCACAAGTTTAGCTTTTAGCTTTTTATTGCTGGTTCTGTTTTTGGAAGGAAGAGGTGAGCTAAGTGAATCATAAAACTGTTTTATACCAACCCATATCAGGAATGAATCCCTCACTCTGGAACATGTCTTTCTATACTTAACCTATGAGAAATTTCAAAACTGTGACTCGCCCAAGCCAAAAATTTCCAAATGGAGTTAGGTAAGGCTATCTGGTGGTGGCCTACTGATGGGCCAAGTTTCAAGTTCTGGAAAATTCGAAGCACTTGTACTTAATTACAAGATTGTGCTGGTACATTCTTATTCAAAACAATCCCTTCTACTAACTAGAGTGACTTCAGGAGAAGAACACTTTGCCCTTTCCTTTCCTAACTTAGTCACTTCCCATTCTTTATTATTTCTCATTACCTCACCTTCCTGTCTTATTACTATTAATAGCCATGAGATTTGTTTTTGTATATAAAAACTCAACCAGTGGTTCTGTTTCCATGTGAAGGGCCAGTTATGCTGCTACAATTGTAATTCATTTAAAAATGGTTCTAAGAAATGCGCAACAGCGAAAGACACTGATTCGAACCTTAATAATGAAAAACCCTTTTCACTTCTGAGTCTGAGTAACATAGGAAGAAAATGCAATGAGCTGTACCTATTCTGACCACTAGGTGGGGAAACACTGCAATTTAAAATACATGTACCTGTGTCTTCTACTCTTGGAGTTTTGAAATTATTCCTGATCTCTGGTTCCTATTTACCTCCAGACATTTGACAGTTACAAGATAAACTGACCTGAGTGACAGGATTACAAGTCACTCCTGGGAATAGCTTCAGAAGCAGGCAGAACAGGCCCCACTCACATGGTCAAAGTATGCATCCCCAGATTCCTCCCTTGACTCCATCAGAGATTCTACTGTGCATCCAGGGAGAGCTCTAACCTTGTCAGTTACTTAGCCCATGCCTCACTAGACTGAAGTTGAGGAAGACTCTCTTCCGGGAATTGTTCCCTCTCTACACTATTTTTGCCTCTTTATATAAAAACATGCTCTTATTTCCATATATGCTCAATATCACCCTTGCTACATAGGTTCTAGTTACATGAGCTCCTGCCTCCAAATACAGAAACAGAAACAAAGATCTTTCCCATGTCAGTTGTTGCCCTGTGTCATAAGCAGTGTGTATATTGGCTCTTTCCAGTTTCTCTATGTGAACATGCATGTGTAGGCCAGAGGTCAAAGTCAGGTGTGTTCCTGTACCACTTTCCGCATTATCTTTTGAGACAGGGTCTTTCTCGCTGAATCCAGAGCTTGCCATTTTGCTACACTGGCTGGTCGGTGAGCCTCAAGAATCCCACCTGTTTCTGCCATATCATAACTCCTCCACCCCCTCAGCGTTGGGGTTACAGACACATGCTGCTTCACACAACTTGTTACATGTGTGATGGGGCCAAACACAGGTCCTCATGCTTGTGTGGCAGGCGCTTTCCCTCCCGAGCCATCTGTCCTAGTGAGCTTAAATTATCCACTGGACACAGTTTAGAGTGAGCTGGACAAGCCTTGACTGAGAAATTGATTAGATCAGAGTGGCTTTGGGGAGTGTCCATAGGCAATTATCTTGATTTTTAGCTGATGTAGGAGGGCCCAGACCACTGTGTTTGATGTTGCTCTTAGGCAGATGGTCCTGTATTATATCAGAAAACTAGCTAAGGAGGAGCCTGTGAGTGAGTGAGTGAGCCAGCAAAGCCATTGTTCCCCCATGGTTTCTGCCTTCAGGTTCCTGCTCTGAGACCCTGGCCTTACTTCCTTCCATGCTGGAGTGTGACCTGGAAGGAGAAGATGAAATAAGCCTTTTCCTCCTTCAAGTTGCTTTGGTTTGTGTTCCAGCACAGCAACAGAATGGAGGTTGAACGATGCCTCTCAGCAGCCTCGCCTTTCTCTCTCTCTTCAGGTACAAGCGCTTTCCCCCAGCTCCTTCCTGCTCCATAGCTCTCTCATTTGGCCTTCAGCAGCATCTGAGGCGCTTGCTCTTGGTCCCTCAGTACACTTACTTCATTCCTCCATCCTCTTTATTCTCCTCTGTGTGCCCCCCCCCGTCAGTCCCAGACCCACAGTTTAGTCTTTTCTGTTTGTACTCCTTCCCTCTCTCTTTTAAGTGTGGAATACAGTCTGATGTCTCTCCAGTCTGCATCTTTGCCAGAACTCTCTCTGAAACTCTCCATTTTAAACTCTCCAATCGCCTCCTCAGTTTTTCCCCTTGAACTTTAAATAACACTTCAAGCTTATCAGAGACATGACTTAAAAAAAAACTTTTTAGGTTTATTCATTTTACTTTTCTGTATACGGGTGCTTCACTCGCCTGCATGTGTCTATACAATGTGCATGACTGTTGGGTTCCACGGAAATGGATATTTGTAGGTCATCACGTGGTTGCTGGGAACCGAACCCACTTCCTCTTCAAGAGTAGCAGGGGTTCTGAGCAGCAGCACAATCTCCCCAGTTCCTAGTCACAGCCTACTTCCTCTCCTTCCAAACGACTCACCTGCAGCCTCCCTATGTCATTTTAAGGACTTTCCACTTTCTAAGACCAAAGGCGTTGGAGCAACTCATGAGCCTTACTGTGAGATTTATAACTAAATCTAAAGTCTGCTGCTGTTCCCCTCAACATTTATCCATAGTCCAGACATTTTTTGCCACCTCCACCAAGGGCAGCTCATCCAGGTTAGAATGCCTCAATAGCGTGCCTGCATTTTGTAACATTCAATTAGTTCTGCTGCTGACCTTGACACTCGCCTGTCTACTGAAAGAGACTTTAATGAAATACAAAACACCTGGTGGTCCTATGCTCCAACCTGCAGGTGTTCTCATCTGAGGGTGACAGCTACAGACGTCACAAAGCATGGAGCCCTACACGAACTCTCTCTTTGCTCGTTGCCCCTTCTCTTGCTGGCTCTAGTGAGCTCTGCTAACCTCCTTCCTTAGCATTTGGGCCTCTATTCATATTCTCTCTTGCTGCAGCTTTATGCCTAACGCCCATGTTTCCTCTTATCTTTGCTACCTCACATCTCTGTTTAAAGCTGTAACAATCTGCTGTTTGTAATTACTCTCCCCACCCCAAACACACACTCCCAGCCTCCCTAACTCTGCTCTGCTGTCCCCCTTAGCATTTGACACTTGCTGGCCACTATAGTATCTTTTACTGGTTGGACTGTTAGGATCGATGCTTTGTGCATAATACTCCAGGAAGTTCAATTTGAAAGAGTGACTCAAAGATTTGCTAAGTGGATATTTGAAAAGCCTAGGAGATCATGACACGAGAATGGATTTTGATTAGTGGGGAGAAGAGTTGCAGACCAGCAGAGCAGCGCTTGGGAAGCATCATGGAGACCTTCTGAATCAAGGGTAAGGAAACAGAGAAACACCACATCTTCTGTCTGCATCTTACAGCTGTATCTTTCTACACCAAATCCAACCCGTACATCTCCCGTAAACTCTTGAACCTGAACATGAATGTCCATTTTGCTTTCGTTTCCTCTATGTATTTACCTAACTTCCTCTTCCATGGGGGACATTTTCTAATCTAGATATTTCCTCATTGTGAAATTTACTGATGGGAACTGTAAAACTGTTGACGCTTTCTCTTTTGATGAGAAAATTAGCTCTAGATATCCTTAGCTTTCACACTTTCCCCTTTTCCTGCATATGGCAACTAGCTTCCCGATACTCCAAGCTTAGATTTTTCCAGGTAATGTAAAACACCCAAGCCCCTTTTATTCTTTCTACTTTTCTTCCAAGTGTATTTTTTTAATGAAGTTGGAAGATCATAGATGAGTCACTAAGAGGAGTTTCTTTAAATAAAGCAAATTTTATTAGTATCAGTGAACTCTGTGAATAACTGATGGAATCGAGCCCTTTGTCTTCTTTGTGACTGGCATATTGACCAGTATCTAATGCTGTAGCACCGCCTTTGAAATCCCTTCTTCCTTCTACAGCCTGTTTAGGAGCCTTATCCGGATGGATTCTAGGGATGAGGTTTTTCAGAGAATTAACACAACAGGCTCAGATTTGTTATATTTTAGAAGAATGTGCTGCCAAGGCTGGCCTGTGGCTTATAGGCAGAAACACACTTTCTCTACAATTATACACTGCAGTGAAAAGTGACCTAGCTGATAAAAGTGTTTTGCTGTTTGAGACCTTATCAATCATGTGACTGATATGAATGTTTGCTTGCTTTCTAGTTTTCTGGTCTTCTGGCATCTGCCAGGCCCGAGGAACCTATGAGACAGCTCCCCTACTCTCTGTGGAAGCCGTATAGTTTCTACCATCTCTGGGTGGCTTCTGCTGGAGGCTGCCTGAGACACCCACTGCTTTCAATAGTGGAAGAAGTGTATGGAAGCCTGTGCTTAGACATCGCCACCTGCTGGTTGTTCTTTCCCCTTCTTTTTTTTGGAATTTAATTTTATCTTAATAAAGAATTCTGAAATCAAAGACGATAATACATGCATCAGGTACATCCCACAGAAGACATTTACAATGGTTTACATTTCCTTTTTATTTATTCCTAGAAACTGCCCGTATTGCAGATTTTTCATGGATGAAATATGGAATTGAGCAGATTCTTTTTTCTACAAAATTATGGTATAAACTTGCTCAATTTTCTATCTTATTGCTAATAACCCTTACAGGCGCACAGTTTGTAAAGTAACCCCTTGAGGACTGAATGTGTAGGGCATGCTGTAAGGTACAAGGAATAAGCTAACTGAGCTTTTACATAAACGCACATTGGGACCGACACAGTACTGAATGCTGGCAAACATTTATCACGACACAGGCTGTGTCTATGGCCATACCACCCTGAACGCGCCCTATCTCGTTTGATCTTTCCCCTTCTTTATCCTTCCTGAATCTTAGTCTCTCCTATAAACTGAGCTTAGTGAGTCCTTTTAGTAAGTCATTAGACATATGTGTGGTCTGGAGGACTCCTAAAGCAGTAGACAGAGTGTCAAGGACCCTTCCTTCCCTTAATGTCCTTAATTAAATGATGACTGGCCTCCAAGCCTTATTAATCTTCAGAAGCCTCCTTTGAGTAATTTGTGAAGACTTCATACTAAAATTATGCCATACTCAGAGGCTTTGCTGAAACTGGTGTCTGGGATGGAGCTATATAACAAACTTTATAAGTGTTAGGATCGTGGCCCACAGTGTAGGCGCATGCCCACAATATCAACACTGTCAAGGGAGAGGCAGCAGAACCTTCCTAAGCCTTGGCTTAGTAGTGAGTTCTAGGCTGGGAAAGGGATATACAGTGAGGGATTGTCTCAGACAAAACAAAACAAAACATGTAAATGTAAAATAAAAATAAATACATGGAAAAGAAATTCTGAAATCTAAATTCAAAGGGTTAAATTTACCAGAGGATAAGGAAAATTAGGAATAAGAAATATGATTTTATATATGTGAAAAATAATTTATATGGAAATTAAGTGTTTATGAGGATATATATTAGTTAGTTTAATTAGGCTAACATTTGTTTAGCCTTAATATAATAGTAAAGAGATGCCTTACACTTTGATTTGATATTAGAATCTCCCAAGGTGTTTGAATCTTCAACTGAACATCTACAGACTTAAATGCCTGGAGGGGTATAATGTTAATACGAACACACAGAGCAGCCCATGTAGAAGATAAGACACATCAAGCTACTCATACATTCTTAGTTACTAACTTTAAATGCCTATGGATGTGTTATGAAGTGAAAAAATAGTCATGGGCACTCATAATATTTGGGTTTTCAATGTATTGAATCGTGAAGCACTTAAGGAAGATCTCAATATGATTTTGTAGTTAACAAATTTTACCCTGTGGATTATGGACAAAAGATCAACTGTATGGCATATGTTAAATTATACTTTTATAGGGACATATCACTGAACTGACTAGTTTTGTGCTAACTGCCCACTAAAGTACCACAGAAATTTTCCATAGATCTTTAAGCACCCAGCCATGAATAATTTGGAAATCTCTGGCAAGACATTGGTGGTGAAATTGTAAGGTGATCCTTTACTTACTTCAGGTCAAGGGGAGGCTTAATGTTTCTGGGAGGTAGGCTTGGAACTGGTGGTTGTGTTGGGTGGGATGCTGGTAGTGGTGGCTGGATGGCTGGATGGGACATTGGAGGTGGTGGCAGGCTGCTTGGATGAGACGCTGGGGGTGGTGGTAAGGAAGTTGTTGAGTAAGGTGTCTGACTTTTGCTGGTACCTAAGAAGCAAAGGATGGTAAATTAAGACAACTCATCAAAATATGAGAACTTATCATTCAAACATGCAGGAACAATATTGGATAAAACATTAGAAATGTATACCCCTTGTTAAGTGAATGCTTTAAAATGTCTAATGTTTTATGTATATTATCTTTTCTGAGATTTTTATAAACCTTAGTTTTAACAGTCTTGATTTTGTGAACAACCCTAAATCAACTTTATACCACATTCTTCATGAGTTTACAAATACACTTATTTTTTTCATTGGATCTGTATTCTAGACTAAATAGATCTATTCTCACAGGCAACACACTTGTTTTTGACAAGATCTTTGAACTTTTAACAAATTATATTTCGTTTAGGCTATGTTTTTTTAAAAGTAAAATCCTATTAAATCATCTCACAAGTAAATTATATACATTATTAAAACTACAATATGATCTTAAGAGCATTAAAGTATGAATTGCCCATATTCCCACCACCTAGCAACGCCTACTAAATTGCATAGGTTTTTTTTGAGCATTTTGATGCAAATGTATGACATCTGTCAGTTCCAGTATATCTTCTCTGTTCAGTTCTTCTAACATGACCCTGTTGCCTTTTATTTTATTTTGAGTTTTGAGATAGGATCTAGGCTGGCTCTGGACTCACAGAAATTCACTTGTCTCTGCATTCCAGCTGCCCAAGTGCTAGGATTAAAGATGTGCTAACACATTCAGTTCTCTGTTGCGTTTAAATTCTACACTCTTCCTGGGATTTCTCTTTGCCAGCAATACGTCTCTGATATTCTAAGAGAATATTCTGTGGTAAAGAGTGTGGAACTGAAGTGCATGGGGTTAAACCCTGGCTTGGATCAATTACTTCCTGGTTACGTTTATAAAATGAAATGATGATGCCACCTCATAGGGTTCTGTGGGATGCTATGGCCCAACATACACAAAACACTTAGAATAGTGTCTGGCACAGAGTAATTTCAACATTTTATTTTTCATTTGATAAATATTTGTAGAATGCCTACCAAAATGCCAAGTTCTGTTCTAGATACTAGGAACCCAGCAGTGATAGATCAGATAAACATTTCTGAGCAAATATATAATACTTAAATGCATTTAATCCGTGTAAACTGTTATATAAATTGTGATATGCACGGTGAAAGGGGGAAATACTATGTAACTGTATGACCTGCATTCTCTCTAGCTCTACGTTTAATGGAATTAGACCATATAAGCACGTGTTTTTTTCATAGAAATTGAAAGCACCAGGCTTCCCTTATTGTTTTCTCATCTTTATTTTGATAAAGTGAGAGAGAAAATGTTAGCAATGCAATTTAGACTTAAGTGTGCCTTCTCTACTTATCGTATTACGGCTAGCGTAACATCAAGGAAGTGTTTTCTAGTGCTTATCAAATATTTATAATTATTTTCTAAGTCAAGTATTACTAGTTATTTTCAAACCCATCAAAACACTCATTTACCTCAGTCACAAATAGATGAATGAAGTTCTCACAGGTAACTTGATTACCTTATTTTGCTTAACGGCTATCAATCGGCCGTTAGCTGAGTGCTGTACTCATTGATTGCAATGAGGTTGGCCACCAGATACAACAACTAGCAGTAGGGGATTGCAAGCAAAGATCATTTCATTATTTGGATGTCATGTGCCCTTCTTCCTTTCTATTGGCAACATTTACTATGTGCATATAAGCACACAGGCACCAGCCCCCTCTCCCCCACGGCTGTTAATAGTTTTTCATGAGAACTTGTGGTTAAACGTGTCTCAGCTACTGCCTAAAATGTCCTTCTGGCTAATGGGGGAGTACATACAATTGCCTTTGCACCTTCCCTGCTTGCTTTGACTCTTGTCCTGTTGCCTAAGTCTCCATTTGCTTTCTGACTTGATATTTTATGCTTTAAGTTGTTTGTACCACCTAGTTTCATTCAATATGGAGCTTGTGACTCTTACCTTCCTTGCTTTGCAGTGACTTTTTTAAGAGGGAAAGAGAATACCATTTTGGAAAACATGTTAATTTTTCATCAGTTTAAACACTAGTGTAACTTGTCCATATTTATAGCTATGTTTCTTTTAAAATGCTTAATCTATTCAATTCTTTGTCTACATTTTACATAACATTTTCTTGTTCTCACATGGACAAATGGAATATAATTTTGCTAATTTAGATATTTTTCCTATCTGTTCATATTTTTAAAAATATCTAAAACCTACCTTGATAAGAACACAGCATTCCATTAGTTTGCAAGAAACTGACTCAAACTGAACAATACCCAATGAGGCATCTTATCTTAACTAATTAATAATCTTACAGGACCACTGTGGTCCATGCAGCACATGTTGACTGACAATATTATATGGCCCATGACTATGCTTATTAATTTGAAATGCCTCTTTCACCAGATCATAAATATTAGATTATTAGGCAGATGAAACAAATTTTGCTATTTTAATAAATAAGTGATTTGTATCCAAAGAGAATAGCTGCTGTGAATGAATATTAATAACCATTGCCTACATATAAAATGTTTATTAACTATCTGTGACTTATATTTCACAGAAAAGATTTTGGCAAGCAGGACCCATTTCCATATTGGAGTGAACTAAGGCCTGGAATTGGGAAGTTACAGACAAGAGCTGGGAAATGTCAAATCTTTTGACTTGGAAGCAAGCATCGAGAGAGGATGTACTCAGAAACCTACAGGCCTACCTGCCTGTACCCAGGCTGGTGGGCCTTTCTGAAGAAGAATGTGTTCTGCTTGCCCTGACACCACCTGCTGTTCATTGGCTATAACAGCCAGAGTCATTTTGGAAGGGTGTTCTTGCTTTTCCACTGAACTTGGAGCAGAAGGGGGTGAGTCTCAATTGCTCACAACCTTGTGAACTAGCAGACAGGGCTTGCCCGAGAATGCATCAAGGCCAGAGGAGGGCAGACTCAGAGACAGAGAGGAACAGAACTGAAATAAAGATGACTACTGAGAAACTGCTTAAAATGAATGCTAAGATTTAATGAGGCACTAAAATAACTGTTAACTGTTCTCACTCCTCATCATATGTTAATGTCTTCCTGTGCACTAGGAAGGAGTGGTGAGCCATTTTGCTTATGTTCAAATACTGCAAAAATTCATTTACATCTATGAAAAATGATTCTAACACAAAGAATCTTTGTGTTTCTGGGAGCAAAGAAACAAGTAGTGTCTGTGTTAAGAAAAACAGAATGTAACTACAGAATGTTCTAGAACATGGAAATAGCTTTCAAAAATCTAAGAAGTTAGCCATTCTCATCCCAACTTTTTTTATCATTTTAGCACCAAAAGTTTGGAAGAGACCTTGCACAGGCCACCTGTTTTGCTATAGCACACCTGACTGGGTGGGACACCAGGGCCATTTTGTCAAAAGGAAATGAATGGGAAAGACTTTCCATGAGTCTGAGGTGGTTCAGTGTTATCTGACCCAGTCCTCAAGGGTGATCTCAGATCATAGTAATGCGGGATACCTTATGTGATGAGATTAAAATGTATAAATACAAAAACAGGAATCTTTCTCCCCAAATTAAGCGTGCTCTTGGTTCTAATGGTAGGAAATTTTAGAAGTGACTAAGAAGTAAAAGTTTAATTCTCTGTATATCCACCCTCTTGTGTACTGAACTGCCACATTCACATTCTTGACTTTTAAACACACCAGAAGAAATTTTCATATGCTCCTGAGTGGTTCTTAGAAAGAATATCTATACTGGAGTTAGTAGACTTGACCTTGTCCAGAATGGATATTTTTTTAACCAATAGCAACCTTAAGACACAGGACAATTTATTTTGCTTCTCTGAGTTTTCGTTTGGTTTTGTATTCCCAACTTGCAGAGTGCTATGAGATTCTGAAAAAATATGAGCACCTGCCCAGCACAGGTGTGCAATGTTACCTATGGCTTGCCCTAGAACCTAGTTCTATCATGGTCTACGGCAAACACTTGAGTAAGCTTTGACAGTATAAAATAACACATTTAACTTGTATTTCTATAATTGAGGCTAAGGAGTTTGAACGTGCTTACAAGATGCTCCACCTGGAACTGGGTGTTGGTGGCACATTCCTTTAATCCCAGCACTTGGGTGACAGAGGCAAGTGAATCTCTGTGAGCTCGAGGACAGCCTGGTTTACAGAGCAACTGCCAGGATAGGTTCCAAAGATACACAGAGAAACCTTGCTCAAAAAACAAAATAGAACAAAAAAGATGTTCCATCTGTGTGATGAACATCTCTTATAAGCACTAAAGTATTAATTTGTAAAGAAATACAGCATCTTGTAGAGATAAGTAGTTCGAAAAACATGTACTACCTTTTATGATTTTATTTTGTAGAATATAAAACATTATACAGAATATAGGTACATAGGTAGATCCTGTTGTGTATCCAAAAGCACTTTGAAAACATTCAGAGCACATCTATAAGCTGTCAGGGGTGAGATCTTGAATGCCTTAGAGTTAAGGAGTCTGGTTTCACAGTATTTTTGCTCGCCTTAATTTAGTGTCTTCTGTTATTATCTTCAAAGGATTTGTAAACTGTAGTGGATGGGAAATTTTGCAAATGCGGAACATGGGAACTATATTAGTAAGAAAGCTTTTGATTTGAAAGCAAAGTGCCAAGACAATGTTAGCCATCTTAGAATGGCCCATCAAAATGGAAAGAAAAGTAATACTGAAACACCAGTGTCACATAGGTAGTCACAGCCAATTTAGGATGGAGGTGAAGAGGGAGAGATCAAAATGATTCTGAAAAGAGGCCACTTTGCAGTCACACCTTCAGATCCTCACCGTATCTGTGACTTTAAAATCAAGAGTGTCCAATTATTGTTCTGAATCTGTCTGTCTGTCTGTCTGTCTGTCTTGGGTTTTTTGAGACAGGGTTTCTCTTTGGCTTTGGAGTCTGTGCTGGAACTAGCTCTTGTAGATCAGGCTGGTCTCAAACTCACAGAGATCCACCTGCCTCTGCCTCCCGAG